TGAGGCCAAATGTCATTGCAAGCAGGGCAACGAGGTTCCGTCGCTCCTTGGAAGAATCTCACCACACACGGGTTGTGTATTTTTATGCCACAAGTTGGATTCTCACAGATTTGGCCCTGAAATATTAAATTAAAGGAATTGTTTACTTGGTGGTTCGACACAAAAGTATCAAGATCAGTTGAAAAGAGTTTTAGTCGGTGATGTTATTTGTTTGGAGTGTACCTGGAAGACAATGTTGTGACAGATGCGGCACACTTTGACCTGGTCTTGATACATGGTGCGAATGTATTGCTCCATCTCGATGATACATCTGGTGGACAAGCAGTATTCACCCTCTTTCTGCACAGAAAAAAAAGAATCCCCCCCAAAAAGTGTATTTCTATTCTTTAACATGATTAACACAAATGTATTGCAAAGATGAATCAAAAGGCAAAACATGAACTGCAACAAAATGGATGCCTTTAGAAAGGCAACTGCTCACGCAATACCATATTCTGCTATTTAAAAAAAAAACAGTGTAAAGAGCAAGAGTTCCCGTTCGAATAGGTGGATTTCTTACCTCAGTGAGCCAATTGTCTCGCACAAGTCGATTTAGCAGCTGTTCCGTGTCTTTCTTCTTTGTTTTTTTGGTCAGCGTGTTGGCGCAATTGAGTATTTCAGTGGAGTAGGCCGTGCCAGTGTCCGAGTTCAAGACCAGGTCCATCTTAATATGAATAGTGCACACTTGTCAACAAACGCTCATAAGTGGGTTTGTTAATCTTTCTGTTGCTATGGTTAAAATTGGTCAAATGTATTGCAGGAAAATACCCAACGACATTAGTGTACATGACTGAACGCACTATTTTCCGGAAAATCTCCAGTTCATGATCGGCGTAGTCAGATGTCATTCTGGTGACATCCGTTTCAATCATGTTAACCTGGACAGCAATCAAATCATGGTAAATATTAACAATCCAGTAAGATTATGTTATATACAACAACAACAACAACGTTCCCGCTCAAACATCCATGAATTACGGCTTAATTGAGCCTGGGAGCCCCCTGCACTTTTTGTTAGAATTTGAAAACAAATGTCTCTTGTCCAAGATGAAAAGAAAAAAGCCTTTAACATTTTGCAAATCTTAAAAGCTCTTTAATAAACCTGCTTGAATTCAAATCCTTGACATAAAAACTATTTGTCTTTTTATGGGAAACGAATATCAGCTCCAAATATCTGTTGTCGGCCTCCTTGACTGCTAATCATCGGTAAAGGAAAAAAAAAACTTTCAAGATAAATTTGGGGATTCAAAAAGAAAATCAATATTGACCAATGACCTAAAAACTAAAGTCTTGGGTCTATTTTACTGTTTTGAGATGCATGTCCATCCTAAAAGATAAACACAAGTTAGTCACATTTGTTACAAAGGACATGTTAAATTACTAATTGTGTCTGCGGCATTTTTGGACCTTCGAATGAGTCAAGTACCTGTATAACCAAAGCTTCCTTTATGTGAACTCAAATAGACTTCTTACAGCTGCACAGAAACCTTGTATTGCAAAATTTGTAAACATAAACAGGATGATACTGACAGATTGAGCCTGGAACTCATCTAGAGCATTTCTTATGGATGAAGTTACAGTAGTTTGTGATCTGAAAAGCTCTGCTTTATTCACAGATACATTACTCTTACACGAGGTTGGAAAAGATGATAGACAACATTAGGTTGATGCTGCGATAAACATCACTTACCAAAGCATAGTGCTGCACACCACTATTTTCACACATTCCTTTTCTAATCTGCATGAACATGGGCTCCAGATTAGAGTTGATGGTATTGATATAGTCATCAAGGTGGTCTGGGGAGTAAAAAGCTGTAAATGAAGCAAAAACAACATTAAGCTCCACGTGTTATCAACCTTTCGAAATTAAACGTATCCCCATGGTTTGATTTTTCACGGAGGGACACTGATTTTGCTGGATCGTGCAAGCCTCTTTAGATCGGTAGAGAGTTTATAGTAAGAGTAACGTATGGAAAGGTCACCACTGCCATCATGTGTAAGCAAAGTAAATTTGCGCAGTAACTCACTGTTGTGTACATTGCAACAATTGCGATGGAGTTGCTTGGCACGTGGTTCATCAACAATGCCGCTGCGCATCAGCCCCTGCAAGAATCTTCTGTGACTGTCGTCCATCTGGTGGCGCCGCTCTTGAAATTCTAGGGAAAACACTGTCACGTAATTTCGAATCTTTTTGCAGTTACATGTCCAATGATGTTAATTCAAACTAGTTTACAATTCCATCGAGAATTAGTAGCTTTTTTTCCGGTGAAAACGCCAGCTCCATCAAGTAATGTTATTCATGGCACTAGTCGAGTTTTTTAAATGACATTAAAATTCAATTATGTTGCTACAGTCGGCGTTCTCAAAACATTACGTCATTTTTAAGAAGAAAAAAAACATTACCAGATTGAAATCAACTCCTCGACTTCCGCGCTCTTTCGCTCTCAACTTTGACTCCACGGCTGCAGTTGCAACAAATTTCTTAATGACGCCGCCTGCTGTTCCGGAGTAGAATTGTGCAATTCGTCAATGCGGCGCACGCCATTCATTTGCAATGATTTCTGTAGCCTGTATTAAAACCACAAGGTCTACTACGGGAGCCTATTGCTACCACACCAGGAAAAAAAAATCAATATCACGTTCACATTATTTTTTTCTACCAACTGTATCAACAACATTCAAGAACGCCAGAGGCCATCTTCTCTGGTCCCAAACTCATAGAGATGATCTGACGGAAAGTGGAAAAATGTGCTATAGTCTGATGAATCCACATTTCAAATTGTTTTGGGAAATCATGAGCACCATGTTCTCCTGTCTGAAGAGGAAAAGGACCATCTGATTTATCAGCACAAAGTCCGAAAGCCATTAGTTGAGAGAATATGTTGCAGGCACCAGATTAAAAATGAGTTAATCGCAAAAAATAAAAAATAAATAAATAAAAACTTGTTTTACACAATTATCCAACTTCATCGGAATTGGGGTTTGTGGGCTATCTCTGGTCTGTAACTTTGTTGCTCACTGATCAATAGTCCTCCTCTTCTATAATTCCAATGCCCACAGTGTGTTCTCCACCCAAGGTATGTAAATGTATTGCAGTAATTAATTAAATCAAAATGATGGTAATTGTAAATGCTTTAATAGCCTAACAAATTAAATAAGAACCTATAATACAAGGTGTCCAAATCTTTGATTGCAATATAGTCTATTATAAACATTTCAATACAGTTTTCAATGTCACTGACTTTTAACTGCAGCATTTGAACAAATCATCCAATTTCAACAAATCATCCTCAACATTATCCCACAGATTCTCAGTTCAATAGCCTCCAACTGTCCAGGGGTGAATTCTGTCCACCATTGAGAAGTAAAAGTCAGTGATGTCCATTCACCAGTGTAAAAACCCAAAGGCAAAATTCTGATTTAACCTGCTCATATGGATTAAAGTACTCTGATGTGACATAAATCAGAGTAAACAAAATGTCTAAATGGTTGAATAATGTGCACAACTGAAAATTGGTTCAACATGAGCAAGAAATGGCTGAATCGTATAGTATGACACTCGTAATGACACCAGTGAAGCACACACATTTCACCTAAACATGACACACACAGATCGTGGGGGCACATTAAAGTTACCAATCAACCCAATCTGCATTTGGGTTGTGCGGGCACATTGGAACATGTCATCCTCTCTGCATCATTGAATACAGCCCTTACCAACAGCATTCAGCAGCATGACCTACAGCAACAACTGCTCAAAAGAGGCTTGCATTAACTTGAAGAAATAAATTAGCCACATACAGTAAATAAATCATTAGTGTAATCAGAGCGATGCCTTAGTGTTTTATCACATTGTTCATGTTGAGGGAACACTTTTGGTTTGCCTTTCTGTCCATCCATTTTCAATAATGCTTGTCTTGATTAGTGCGCATCTTCATCTGTGTTGCGGGGCAATTGTGCCAATCGAGTGAGTGAGAGGCTTGGTAAAGGCTGGACCGGTTGCCAAGAGACCGTTGAGCAATGTTTGTCTTTCTGAAGATACAATTTCAATTCCAGAAACGATCACGACATGATCTTGATCTTGTTTGTCTGTGTTAAGTTCCTAATTTAATCAATTCAATCAAAGGAAAGAAAACCGTCAGGTTATGGGACAATCATATTGGCATTGCTCCCCCCCCCCTCAGGAAACAGTGAAAGAAGTGATCATTGACCTCTGCTACCCCCCCCCCCCCATAAGGATTGTGGCTTTTTTTTTTTTTGCTTCATTGAAAACAAGTACTGTATAAGCGAATATCCCCGGTAATACTGTCAAATGATATTTTGCACTTTCTTCCAAAAGCATTTACCCACTCACCACTAATCAAGCACCCTACAGTATGTGCAATCACAAGAACTCAAAACATGATTCAACTTCAATAATTTGTCAAGAGACCTCAAAGCATGTACCACTCCTGCGCTTCTGTGATGATCTCCAAGTCTGTGTGCTCCTCTCATGTTGTCAGACTTTAGTTTTCGAGCTAAGATGTCAGAAAAAGGGCCTTCTGGGCTTGCTGGATTTAAATGTGCCCAATGTAGACCCAGGGTGCTCATCTTGTGTCTTCATAGTTTTGGTTGGCAGCAGTTGACTGAGAGAACGCTAAACCTGAGAAGAAATCATGGAGTGAAAATAAGCGTGCCAGCTGTCACTGGTATAAACGTCAGTTAAAATACAGTACAGTACATGTACTTGTCACAAGAAACGCACGGCTGTGGATAGCTATCATGATTCCCATCAGACATCCTACGATAAGTAATACTCGTATATTTTGTACTTAAAAAGGAAGTATTTTAATAGAGCAATCAGGTTCCATGTTATTACGGTACTGTAAAATGACACACACACACACACACACACACACACACACACACACACACACACACACACACACACACACACACACACACACACACACACACGAATATTATGCACCCTCCCAAACAGAAACGACCTTCAAAAGCTGAATTTCTTTTGCCCTCGTGTACTTTGTGCTTCTCCCAATTTGGAGGCATCCATGCTCCAAAATTGGAAGTATTTATCTGCATGGTAATTTGATAGATTGTGTATTTCTCATGCCAGACGCATTTTTGTGTGTGTGTCAAGAGAAGTTCTCTTACCTTGCTCACAGTTTCGGCTGTCAACCCTCAAAAGCCCACAGAAGTCTGTGCTAACATGCTTGAATCAAAGTGCACCTTTTCACAACGCGTAGGTACTGATATAGGTCTATACGTTTTTGTTGGGGGGTTTTTTCCCTCTAAACCAATGTATTAAAAAATGCATTACTCAATAAATTACGGTAGGTAAGAGTTCTGCTTTACATAAGAGGCAGCATAATTTTTTTTTCTTCATTTTTTTAATCTTTTTTTTTAAGCAGTTCTACAGCCAGATTATAAAGTGCAATATTACTCCACTTGACACCGCTAACATAAACATTCAACTTTAGTGACGGCAAAGGAAGGAGATTAATAAAGAGATCCATTGGCCAAAACACAATATGAGTATGTCACATTTTGACCACAAAAATGTCTGTGGAAAACAGTGAATCTCTATAATTTACACAAGAATTAAAACAAGCCCTCGTGTTTTCCTGCATAAAATTCTAATGAGATCACTGTTGGCGTACCTTGTGTTCTAGTGGGTGGTAGGAAACTGTTCATGTGTGTGGAAGGACTGTTGCAACTTCTCCTCTTTCGCCCTTCTGCTGTGGCAAAGCTGTGCAGTAACAAAACGGCAATCAATATATTTCTTATATTCTCCTGTTCACCCACGAGTCTTGGGCTTGCGCAGTTTTCATTTGCACGCATTCTCTTGTCCAGAATGCTGACACATCCACGATGCTTACTCAGGGAATACAAGCAAAAACACAGAGCAGGTGCAATTCTTTTGAATTCTGAGGTTGGCTGCAAATTATAGGGCATCAAGTTTGACTGAAACTTCTGAATGACACTGAAATGCATTTCGTAAATTTTAGCAGATGCTAAATGTGAAAAAGCCTTACGTAGCGGATGTGTCATCCGCCACGTGAGAAGTGCACCCCACTGCGGCTAATACAATGACACTTTGAAGGAAACCATGTGGGTTTTTTTCCCTCGGAAATATATCCAATAAAATCAATTTGCACCTGAATGCATGTTTGGTGGTCCATCAATAAAAACTGTCTTGTCATTCTACAGATCAATGGAGCACAAACTTCCTTGTGCCACGGACCAGACGAGTCACATTCTCACACATACATAATTTGATGACCGGCACACAGTTATAACAACAAAAGATAAGACACACAAATTCATTCGAATTGGGTTTGCATATGTACCTTGAATGATAACTGGCACTTCACAAGAACACTTAACTTGCTATACCATTTTAAGCACTTAAAAGAGAAAAAGTGGAAATATCGACGGCAGAATGTGAGCAAGGCCCTTATTTGACGGGGAACCCCCACAGTGTAGGGTTGCTTCAGAGTGCATCTCTGGCATGAAGGTGTGCCAATGACAGACTTAGATGGATGGGAGAATTCGGGCAGCCATAACAGTGCTTACTTTTCCCTCTTACGCACATGGGAGAATATGGCCCGCAGTGGCTTTTATTACGAGTCACTAGCTCACCGTTCTCTTTTCCATGAAGCCGGTCAGGAATTCATCTATGTCAGTGCGTCCCTCTAAAAAGTTTTCAGCGGTCGCTTCAGAGTCCTCCTCAGCTTGATGAGCTGCAACCTTTAACCGAGCCTGAAGAGAACTCAGACTACAGCTCTGTAATGGGGGAAAGAAATTAAATTAGCTTCCTTCATTTGTACAAATACTGGAAGTGATTTTTCTCTCAAATTCATGCTCTTTAGTTGATGCAAAACATTTATATTCAAAGTCTTCGATGGTTCCGTAAACTGTCACATTATTGTAACACATTTAAAAAGCAGGACATAGTGGCATATATTAAAAAACTCACATTTTGTTAAAAATGTGCAAAAGTACAGGGAGGTGGGGGAACTCTGACTATGATTGCCTTAGGCATCCAAATGACGAGCCAAAGTGTGCTCATTCGCGGCTTGTGCATTGATGACGGAAAGTGAACAAAAATTGGCCGCCGACAATTCATACGTACAGTAGGTTTGAGGTAATACACTTCGCTTGGGCAGGGATATTCTCATTCAATCATCGGGGTTCTTTTTCCTCATTCAGTTATTTAGTGATTGGTGAGATGGACAGCAAAAACATTGGACAACGCCACGTCTCCAAATGACGTGTTGTCAAACATATATCTGCCAATTATTTAACTGGTTCAGGTAATGGATGGATGGATATTTTTGCTTGTTTTGACATGTCTTTTTTTTTAACTATATTGAACAACGCAGATGTAACAGGCTAGTGTTTCACTATACTGTACTTGTCACCATGCTAATAAACAAGCCACAACAGTAACCATCTGCAGGGATGTAATGTTAGGAATATACATTAACATTAATACTACTGTAAAGATGCTACGTTAGTGGGCGGCTTCTGTAGAGAGCATCGTCCGTGTGACAATTATTACATGACGTGGGGTGCATGTTAATCTGAATTGCTCCATACTTGCACCATTTTCTGTGTTGTTTTGACACAGTTTTCTTCCATGCTCTGTCAGCCACGTGCCAAATTCACTTAAATTCACTTTCCTCAAATGAAATGAATATAAAAATGCAAAACACCAATACAGCTCAGATTAAATTTTTTTGATTCGCTGTATACATTTGCTGAGCGCTGAGAGGGTGAGAGCAGTGTGCAATTATGTAAGCCTGGGAACCTCACCTCATTAAATGTCCAGCAGTCTGTGTTTTAGGTATTCTATTCTAAAAATATTTTCAATTAAAACTTGTAGATATTTTTTTGTAGTGACAATAGCACACTGGACATACATTTAATTAATGTCTATGGTTTAAGTTTAATTTATTTTACATCAAACTGGCTTTGCTTGATTCAATCTAAACCCATGTTGCAATGTAGCGAAAGTCACACAATGAGGTTTACCTCACTCAGATCATGTTGTCTCTGCATCTTTGTCTCAAAGGCAAACTTCAGTTGAGTCAACTGTTCAAACTGAACACACGAGAGGGAATGTGATAGAAAACATAAACAATTGGAGCATTTTGAGTTAATCTATTTGGAATAATAATATCAAACCTTGTAGATAATTTCTTGTCTTTTCCCTTCCAGCTGTGGTTCCATCTGCAGATTTCTTTCTGGGAAAAAATGAGATACACAGGTTTTCCCCAAGTGATCTGAGCTTCTCTAACCAGCCTGGCTGAGCAGATAAAGTCCAAAGTTGGAAGAGGAACATACTTGCCATATCCACAATGTTAGTGACCAGTTCCTCTTTATCACTTGTGACTTGTTGGAGCTGTGGCAGCGTCATGAAGAATCTCAGTAAAACATCCTCATTTTCTGACATGTCAGATAGTTGAGTTGGACTGGGGCAAGGCGCAGCAAAGACAACAAAAGAAAAAGAATATATTCTTCAATTTCGCTCACACAAACGTACTTGAATAATGTCTTAACTCTTGAGGATAAATTACTTCAAGTCAGAGAGTTCAGGAAAAGACTCGGGAATCTCAGGCATCTTATACATATGTCCATTTAGGCCAGCCTGAAAAGACAAATGATGAGAATGGATGAGAATGCAAATACTTAAGTGAAAGCCAACCTCTAAAAAAAGTCACTCAAAAATGTTATCAATGATCCAGCTCTACTGCTAGATTGTGCACAGCAATTTCCAGACTATAACTTGCTACGTTTTTCACATACTTTTGAACCATGCAACACAGACAAAGGTGTGGCTAATTTGGGGATTTTTAGGGGCTAAATTAATTACAATTTTATTTACAACCTTCTCTCGGTGAAACCGAAGCAAACTACCCTAAATCCCAAGAAGTGCTTTCAAACAGGAGAACAAATGAACATCTTGAGGCATTCTTCATCAATTTACCTGTACGTCTCCAACGGGTACGGGCAATGGCAGGTCAGTAATGAGACCATAAGGTGTTGGACCTCGAGGGGACCCATGGACAGCATCAACTGCAGGATGAAGCACCGGTCCAACTCCAGAGGGAGCCGGTGCTAGAGGTGGCGTCTGACTTTGCCCAACATGTCGAGAACCAAAGTGGTAACCCTGAGTCGGGTAAGGAGGGATACTGGATGGCTTGTACATACTGCTGTTGGTTAGATCAAATACCAATATGTTACTCACATTATTTTCATCTAAAAATATATAGTTTACTTAAGTTGTCTATACAAACTATTATCTTCATTTGTATCTCAATTAATGCAACCGTTTACTTGTACACATGCATTATACATACTGTATAAACCCAAGCCTGCGTTGAAACAATCTGTGCGACAAAGTCTTTTCGACTTCAATGTTGGCAAACGAGAATTTGAAAGCATACTTTCTTTTAAGTTAACAGGCTTTTGGAATCAGTAGGCCATATGTGTTTCTGAGAAATGGCAGGTTATCATAACTATAGCATGATGAAGCCTCTCACCTGACCGTTTGGAATTTATTGGTCAGGGAAATGTGCTAAGCTAGTTACTTATCATCCTTAAATCCCCTATGCCACTGAGAGGCGAACAAATGTGACTGTTGGCGACAGTAGCAAAATGTGTGTTTGTGTTATTGTGTGTTCGCGTTGGAGTTTGTCAGGGTCCGTTCGAGGTTTTAGTGATTTTGCTCAAAATTTCTAAAACTACAATACGTTAGGGAGACCTCAAAGTCATATGCATTGTGTACATTTGCTTTTCATTCTGTATAAAAGCTGCAGTGATTTTTTTTTTTTTTTTAATACGTGGTGCATAGATATAAAACCAACTCACTATGGAAAGCCAGACGTGCCAGTGGACATCAGGGCGGGAGGGCTCTTCCAGAACTCATCCAGCAGACTTTGAATTACCTTACCCAGGTCTGAATGCATGCCAAACTACAACAAAAAGGATGTTAAGAACTGTATGATGAACTAATGCCATCCATTATCTCTGTCCTGAGACGTCAGCTTCACGTTTCTGATAGCATCCCATCTGTTGCTGTATTGGTCATTTGGGTAGTAATAGTTTTCTTACTACAGTGTAGCAAGAAAACTACAATGTGTCGCCTAGAAGTAATGTCAGCTGACAGCGCCTTTTTTGCTACTCTTTTCTTTTGTCAACTCATGCTGCAATGCTAGTGAACGAACGTGTGGTCTTCTTTTGTAGTCCACATATGAACAGTTGCAGGGCCAGCCCGTGCTCTGCGGAAATGACACCTTGGGGAATGATGGACTGACAATAGACGGACTGTCAAGACTGTTTAATTTTACTGACAGAAGCGCTGTTTAAATAACATAACGGACTGCTCTACTTACGATTAGAGTTTGGTTCGGTTTGAAAAAATGACGGACTGACAATGATGGACGGGTGATTGATGATGAATGACAAACTGGCAAAACTTTGTAAATTGCCCGCCTCTGTGAGTTTCCGAATGGCCAGAGTGAATGAAGGAGTGTATGCTCGTCATCTGATTATGAACAGTGTGCATGATTTCGCAGCTGCGGTGTAAGTGTTTTGGGGCCACATATAAAATCTTGTTTCGGGCCACCAAAATCATAGGGTCAGCCCCTGAACAAGTGGGTGCTGTAATGCCAGGCTTAATAAGTTGCAGCTTGAATCAATGGCAATCATTTCGGTGGATTTCTCTTTCACTCCATGTAAAACTAAGGCCAAACAAAAAAGATAGTGTGTTTCAGGTAACATGAAATTTAAGCATGTAGCAAGTAGGTAGGACAACGTTTATCTTTTTTTTTTTTCATCAAAAATTTAAACAAAATAACCATAAAACATAAAACTTTCTGACTGTTTCAGAACTCAAAACCTGTTAGTATCGCTTTGGCACACGAGACACAACTTGCTGGTAACAAGGAGAATTATTTCAGCTTTGCCACTTTGCCATATCATCAATGTCATAGAATTCACCGTTGGCACATTGACACTGCTATTTTCACGTGGTTAATACTAGGCCCGTGGTGTTCATCAAATAGTTCGCTGAATTTTTTCGATACATCAATGGATGCTATTTTCTTTACATTACAGTGCGAGCATGCGACTGTAACACAGAAAACGTGGTTTAAACTGTCCTCGGAGATCGCGGCCACTGCCATGATTCAATGTTGTTGACAGACGACAGGGCAAACGACGCACGCGCTCAACGTGAATATCGCGAGAGTTTGCACCGATGTAAACCCTCTACGCAAAAATGTAGAGGGTTGTTTGAGAAAAAAAAAAAAACTTTACAGTCGGCATTTTCGACGTATAAATTCTCGGTCAGTCGCGTTACCGGAAACACACTATTTTTTTTTTTCTCCGCCGAAGCGATTGTTGTGCCATTTTGGCAATATCTCGGCAATGACGCTTTGTGACCTTTAAAATTAAGAAGACTTTTGAAAAACAGTCTTTTTCAGCCAATAGCGATGATAATTATGTGATCCACCCCAATTTCTGATCATGTGCTCAGATCGGGACAACTATAACTCTACTTCTTATACTATTGCAGTTTTAATAGGGATCAAATTCAGAGCTAAATCCCTTCACGATAGTTTTACCATTTGCAAATGTCCCAGCAATACTTACATTAGTGATGAGGGGGCTTATACTTACATTAGTGATGAGGGGGCTTGTGATCAAAGTGCCATTATTGCTGTCGACAAGATGGTGACCAACAGGAGGGTAGATGCTAACCACTGGCTTCTCTTGAGGGAACTGAGGTGGCAGAAGACTGGAGGCAAAGAGTGTGACAGTCTCAGTTTGACCCTTGATTAAACTTTATAGACCTCTCTCTAAATTAGACATCAATACTATAATAAGCTATTACAATAGTTTATATGTGAACAGTGTTTGAGGTAACGTCTGTCACAAGCATTCTAGCATGACTACATTGGTGACTGATACTAATGAGGCCGAACCAAACAATTAGCCTGTGAAAGAACAAGACTTGTCTCTCAAGTTGTTCCATTTGTTCACAGACTTTTTCTGTATTTCATGTACAAAAAAATCAATGCAAGAGGTAATGTGCTGTCTATGGAATTTCAAAACTGTTTGAAGTGTTAAATATTATCATCAATCGAGCCTCTTACCGAGACCTCGGCAAACTACGTCCCGCAGGCCGAATCCGGCCCGTTGGTCTTTTTAATTCGGCCCGCCGAAGGTTGGTACAGTACACAATTTAAGGTTCGATGTAAATGATTGCATTCATTTCATTTGGACTTGTAATGACAGACATTTCAACGCCAGGTGGCGCAGTTACTTGAAGTTGCAGAGCACAGAGAGGGAGGGGGAGACGATATGGAAGACCGCAGTAGTAGCGCTCACTCAAGTAACTCCGCTCACTCAAGTAACTCCGCTCGATACGACGGAATAAGTGTGTCCGCGCCGCTATTTTCAATCATTGGATCCAAAACGACGACATGCAAGTGACTCTTTATTGCAGTGAGTTTTACTGGAATTGCGAACATTTTTACATCCTGTAGATCATGGCATCCAAACGAAGGGGAACAGTAATGGCCGCGGAAGAGAAAGTGAAGTGTATCTAATTAAACGAAGCGGGTTACAAAGTTCGAAACATTCAGGAGACGCTTGTAGTATGAAAGACTCAAATCTACGAGACTTTGAAAAACGAGGAAGCGATTCTTGCTCAGTCCGATTCTGTGTGTTTCCATGCTCAGAGTGAATTGCATGCGGCTCAACGGACAGTCGAGTAAATAAACATTTCATGGAATGGTTTGACTGTTATTGTGCTAAAAACTTTCCGCAAACTGGACCGCTAATAAGAGAGCAATCGAGTTCAATAGCGCTATGGGCATCGAAGACTTCGAAGCGTCCCGTGGCTGGGTTCAAAAGTTCGTTGCACGAGATCAGCTGAGCAACGCTGTCTTGTATGGTGATCGAGGGGAGGTCTAGTTTGAGACAGTGAGTGAGTGGAAAGAAAGCCACCAGGTCTTTTACTCGTCTCATTTTGTAACAAATAGTCCTAACTTTGTTATATTTTGTCATATACGTGTACTGTATGCTGCAGTTTTTGGGCAATATATAGTTGCACTTTGTTGCTTGTGTTGTCACACTTGTATGTTGTTAACATACTTGGACGTTCATCCAGGACATATACCACAGTTGTTTCACTGTTCTCATTAAAAAAAAAGTATGGTAATACTTTAATGCTTTTGTTCTGTTGATGTTTGGTATGGACTGTCAACGTGCAGTTTTTTTTAATATGTACCGTATCTTGTGCTGACCCGGTCCACCTGTCAAATTTAGAAATCAATGTGGCGCCCGAGCCAAAAAGTTTGCCCACCCCTGGGCTAGATTGATCTCTACTGAACAAGAAAAAAAAACAAAACACTGAAACATGCTTGCTTGTATTTTTTCTACATTGTTTGGCAGTTGGGACAAAAAATGTGAGTTATGTTACATTATTACTGGCATACAAAGACATTGTGCTATCTTCATGGGAAAGTTAAAATCAGAAAGTGTTGTAGTGTTCATCTTACTGAAAAAGAGTTACAAATTACAATTGAGTTACAATTAGAATTGTTTTGCACAATTTCACTGAAGAAATCATTTTTCTGTAAAATAACTGCACTTTCATTATCTAACAATAATATATACTCTTATCTGCTTCTGTAAACAATGTCATGAACTCATTTCAACGTAGAAAAAAAATTTAAATCGGGAGTAGATTTCTAACTTTTTGCCCGGCCCTCCACAATATTTTCTGCTTCTCATTTGGCCCCCTCCCGGGAAAATAATTGCCCACCCCTGCTCTTACCTCTACGGACCTCTAAACTACTAGGCCAGTATTAGACATAGAAAAACTCCCTTTTCTAATTCGTGTGGCCTATTTAGTTTATATGCCTGTGAAACCATGCTTAAGTCTACAACTAAGTCTGCAAATGTGAACTCACATGTTAACAGTGAGGGTGGAGTTGTTGACTGTAAACGGAATCCTGTATTCCACATCCTTCTGGATTTCTGCAATGCTGTTGAGAGACAAAAATCCAGTCAAGTTGAGAGCTGTCAAGGTGTAGGTATTTGCAGGGGCAATTTTGACAAGATTTCCTGAAAATTACAGGCTGTCAATGGGGAATCTTGTTTGAATGTCCACTTTGACATGAGTACAGTACACCGCAGCAAGAATTTGGAAAATTTGATGAAATTCTAGCATTGCCATGTGTTTTTCTTGATGGAAACAAACAACAAAACATGTTTTTTAAGGGCCATTTCAATTGGGGGGCGGGGAGACAACAACTTTAAACTCGAGGTACCACTGTACATCGTAAATGTTCAAGTAAATATTCAGCATAATTCTGGTCCTATAGTACATGAGCCAAAGTGGCTTCTGAAACTAACTGAAAATCAGAAGGATGGATCTCAAACTCTGCTCCTTGAGGGTCGGCATCGAGCGTCTTTTGGGTTTTTCCCTCCTCTGACACATCTGATTCAAATGCTCAGCTCATCGACAAGGTTTGCAAGAACCTCAAAACGATCCTGATCATTTGAATCAGCTTCAACCAAAATGGAAACCAAACCACCGAATTCACGCTGCTGTGAGCGCGCACTTTGACCAGAAATCAGTATCGATCACATCTGCTCAGTAAACAACGCCGGATTATTAGAAACATGACTAGAAAAGAAAACACACACTCCAAAATACACTTTTGTAAAACACTCGTGACATGCAGTGATATCGCAAGACGTGACAGACTAGCGACAACTCGTGTTAACTCTAAAGATAGCCATGGCCAATTCGCCATAGTCACCGTTGACAACTGGATTAGCAAACCCACTGAGCTACCAGGAAGTATTAGCACCAAGACAAACTGCCAAACGTTCGCGTAACAACAGATGATTTGCACCTGTCCTAACATCACTTCGAATTAATCTTTAATCAGAAGTAAACAATGCTAGGTAGTTCCTCTCCTGTAATTAAATGTTCACTTGGTGACTATTGCAGTTTAGTCACGTGTATTCTGTGAAGCTACAAAGTTAGCATGTCATTGTGATTAAAATAACTCAACACATACAACTTGTACAATGAAAGGATGAGAGTTTTCAGCAACCAACTTGTCCGGGTTACAATTAACGTTACCTGGGATGAGCAGCTTTCAGAGACTCAATCTGTCGCTGTCTTTGTTGTTGCAGACTGTTGAGTGGCGTGTGAGGTCCAGAACCCTTTGAGATGGGGAAAAGCCAATTCATTCTTTCAAAACCAAATAAGATTTAACTTGGTAATAGAATGCAAACGTCCGATGTAAACTCAAGCGAAACGGCTGAACTGCGAGCGCTAAATGGAGCTTCGTGTAGCTAACCCCATTAGCTAGTAAATAACGTTGTCAAACCGTTTTTGTCCACACACGCGTTAGGAGCAACGCTACAGAATCAGACAGCACGCGGTGTTGTGCCTGATTAAATGTATTCGATCGGGTGTTCCCCCTTAATCATTTTCCCCGTTGAGGAGTGAAATGAACGTCACCGGTACGTGAGCTAATTGAGGCTAAAGGAAAACAACACCGACGCTTAAGCAACTTCTTTACGTGGTTTGTCACAGCAAATCAGTGAAGATGTAACTTCCCGTTTGTCCTTTCAAAATACAACGAACATAAAGAAAACCATTCGTTAATTAATTTTCATTATTTTATTTTATTTTTCTAATATCTGATGTGTATTGGGTTTTCTACATCACATATACTTGCACGCCACATAAACACACATTACAGAGCAAAATAGAGTATATCTTTCTGCTTTATTTTTTCGGAAGAAGCCTTCCCTAACTAAATGCGTCTAGTATAAATCATGTGCGATGTGGACAAAAGTGAACATCCCTATACTATCGCAAATTATCTAACACCAATACATATTTTAATTTTTAAATATATGAATTGAAAGGGAGATTTGGAAATAGAAATATCCTAAGGTCATGCTTTTATTTATTTATTTATTAATAACAATCTGAAAAATATCATAGTCATACATGACTTTAGCCAGGATGACCAAAATAAAGGGCTGGAGTTGGCATGCTTTTATAACCATTCTTTTGTATTTTTATCGAAATAAACTCTACTGGCTATCCCTGATTTATCAATTTAGGTTTCAGATTAAAAGGTGCTTTGGACCCGGTGCTGTTGACACGCCCCCCCCCCCCCCCCCCCCCCCCCCCCCCACACACACACACACACACAGTCGATCGATATGTGCTGTGCGCTTTTACAACCACTAGATGTCAGTAATGCCTAACGCATGGAGTTCAATGCAGCCACGGCGTTGTAGTTTTAAAAAACGGAAATCGAGAGGAACTGACTCGGGGCTTCGTTTTGATACCTTGCTAAATAGACACTGTACTTTCCTAAACTTTAAAGGAAGCACCCCTTCATCTCTTTTGACCGATGGCTTGGTAGTTGGTACGCAAAGGTTGTTTTAAAGGTTAAGAGCACCTTATGAGATATCCACCCCCCAGAGCGTTGTGTCACGTGCTCAAAACGAAGCTGCTGATTGGGCAAAGAGAAGATCTGAGTTCTGCTATCGATTGCTCATCCTCAAGTACCCGGACCTTATCACACGAACTGAATTTGCGCATTAAAAATTGGAATTTTTCCTTGTAAACTGAATGTGAAAAGTAAAACAAACTGAATCTCTGTGGAAAAGATTTTAATTTGTATTTGCAAAACTGAATGTGAAAAAAATATATACAGAATTGAATTTTCAGTGAGGGATTGAAATTAAAACTGCACATTTCAAATTCAGTTCTTCAGAGTCATGGTTCAAATTAAATAATGCAAACTCCATGCATCCATTTTCTGGTCCGCTTTATCCTCACAAGGGTTGCAGGGCGTGTCTTTGGACAGTAGTCGGGGGACACCCTGAACCGGTTGCCAGCCAATCATAGGGCACACAGAGACAGAGGGCTGCTCAACAAAATTGCGGGCCGGTCTCTTGGGAAACAGAAATAAAACAAACCGCCGTTGACAACTAAATTACGGCACATCATCACACATCGGCCACAAAAAAAAAATACTGATCGTGATCTTGTCAACACAGTCGGTTGCAGTTTATATTTCTGGTCAAATATGTTATGAACATCAATGTTGGAGGCAATGGTAAGTTATTTTATTTAGACTGACACACGAATAAGGCTAAAACTATACATCCCATTTAAATGCGAACTGAAGTGGGCTGCTTTGAGAGTTTAAAACGAGCCCCCTCCCGGACACTCTGATCCGTAACACAATATACAGAGTCATCAATATACAGAGTCAATATATAGAGTCATCAATCTTTGAATAAACGTGAGACAATTGAGTATTTTCATGACAGTATCTTAATAACCACTCTGTCCATATCCCTTCCCTCCATGCTCCAAGTGGGAGCAAAGAACGATCATCAAAACTATACATCCCATTTAAATGCGAACTGAAGTGGGCTGCTTTGAGAGTTTAAAACGAGCCCCCTCCCGGACACTCTGATCCGTAACACAATATACAGAGTCATCAATCTTTATTTGTAAATTGAACATGGTATTGAGTAATGTATGCAGACTTCTAAACGAAAATATGCTTCATAAAGCATTATTAATACATTCACCAGTAGAGGTTTAACTGACGGCCAGTTTTAATTACCAACAGTCATTTCAAATAAAGTGAAGGTGTGTCGCGGTTCGCGAAGCAGTTGGAGCGAGTACGTTTGTGGAAGTATTTAGTCCGTCAACAAATATAAGAGAGGAACATGGTCGACTAATCTTGCATCGTTTAACAATCTTGATGGCAAGGAATAAGATTGCCGCTTAGTGAACTAATCAACCTATATCTATACTACATTTGGAATTAAAGGATTTACACAATCGAATAAACGTGAGACAATTGAGTATTTTCATGACAGTATCTTAATAACCACTCTGTCCATATCCCTTCCCTCCATGCTCCAAGTGGGAGCAAAGAACGATCATCAAGGGCAATAAGAAGATGAATAACTCATCTATTGAAGCCAGCTTAACGCTCAGGAAGGGATATCGCACCTCATCATCGTGGTTGGCGAGACCAATCACTTTAGAAACACATTTCTCAAGTCAAAAACTATAGAAATGATCCCTGAAAGTATAGTCTTAATTGGAGAATGTGCGACGACGGGAACTCATTCACGGCAGTACTATTTTCACCTTGAGGTGCGTCTGTACTGTCGTTACCATTTTCCGAACCTCATGATATGCTGTCTAGTAAAGAACAAAAGGAAAGGTCAATATAAATTATTTTGGAAGCCTCAAAACAGGATTCATTAAGTTAGATCACAGTACACCAACCCAGAATGCTTTGCGCGCACGGTTTTTATAGTATTCGTCTTTCCAATCAAAATCACATGTTTTAAAGATTAACGCTCAATCAAAGTTTTAGAATAAAGTAAAATACGTAGTTAGATAAAAAGGTCACAGTGATCCTTGGGGTGAGAGAGATTTAATAAACGTTGAGAAGTGGGGGAAAAAGAAAAGCGTTGTGCATCGGTTAAAACGTTCCGACAGTAAACTAGCACAGTAGAACTGTTCTGCAACCGTTAGGTACTGCACCATTTACAAATGTTACTTAAATGTTTACCTCCTTAAATTAAGGAAACCGATTCATGGGGCCATGTAAAAAAACACACACACACACGCACACGCAACACACACACACACACACACACACACACACACACACACACACACACACACAAACACACACGTGACGATGTCAAATCTTGAATACTATTTAACTGTATCCACGGCAGGTTGGGTTTTGCTTTCAGCTTGAAGCCAGCTTCTATGACATTTGATGGCAGTATTTCGGCAACGACTTTAAACTTTAATGAGCCTTTTACTCATTATTAGTTTAGTGAGGGCTTAAATATGTGCTGCTTTAATAAAGCTGATGTGCAAAAATCACACAGCAATGTTTTTTTGCGTCGTATTGTAGAGCAAATGCATAAATAAACAAGTGATGGCGAATTAACAGGAAGAAAGCACAATACAGTACTGTATAAGCATATAACGCTAGTTTCGGTTTTTAATTCTTCTTTAAATTACGCTGGTAGTTGGTAAATGTTAACTTACCAGCATATTGTACACGGAGGAATGGAACATTTAACTATTCAGGAATGCTAAACAATGGGTGAGCGTGTTCAATTACCATTAGTCACATAATCCTCGGGTTAAACAGTTGCGTTTCGACATTATATGCGCATGCGCAGAGTAAACATGCCAGTTACATTATCACTCAAAATGGGTTTTCACCAAAAATATTCAATTGATTAATTTACCCGAGAGCGAAACAACTTCTCTTAAAGGGCTATGTTTATATTTAACCTTTTAATTAAATAGGTACACCAGTGTAACATTTTGAACAAATGACATTTTATTACATCACTAAACATCAGGCGGCATATTACTCTTGCATACTCAGTACATAAAGACTCAAAAGAAAACATTGATCAGTAATAAAATGAATAGGAAGAGGACTAAAAGGGGTGGGAGGTGTAGGGGAGGAACTGTGTGCATGACCATCATGGAAATCCATCCATCCATCCATTTTCTAATCCGCTTATCCTCACGAGGGTTGAGGGCATACTGAAGCCTATCCCAGCTGTCTTCAGGCAGTAGGCGGGATACACCCCAAAATGGTTGCCAGCCAATCGCAGGGCACACATAGATGAACAACCATCTGCATTCACACTGACACCTAAGGACAATTTAGAGCAGGGGCCCCCAACCTTTTTTGCCTGCAGTACATGTTTTTGTAATGTGGGAGGAAACCGGAGTACCCGGAGGAAGCCCCTCATGCAAATATATTCATAAATACAAACGTAACAACTTCAATATGTATGGACTATATGACCACTGTGTTATTTCAATGTGTATAGGTTGTACTGCAGGTAATGAGCTATTTCTATCAATCCCTCCATCCAGCCATCCATTTTCTAATCCGTTTATATTCGCGGGCATGCTGCAGCCTATCCCAGCCGTCTTCTGGCAGTCGGCAGAGTACACCCTGAACTGGTTGCCAGCCAATTGCAGAGCACACATAGACGGGCAGCTGTTTGCACTCACAATCACACTAGGGACAATTTAGAGTGTTCAATCAACCTACCATGAATGTTTTTAGAATGTGGGAGTCCCCGGGGAAAACCCATGCAGGTACGGGGAGAACATGCAAACTCCATACAGGAAGGCCAGAGCCTGGAATCAAAACTTCAGCACGGTGAGGTGCTAACCAGATGACCATCGTGCCGCCCTGAACTTTTTTCATGTGAAATTATTTAGTAGAACATTTTCAAAACTTTCAGTATATTTCATCTGTAGATTTGAAGTAAAAATGGTGTGCACGTGACCAGTTCTCCAGCATTGCTCCTACACTCAGTAACTATGTCTCCCATCCAGGACCGGTCTATTTGTCTCTTGGCTTCAGAGATAACACAGTGGGGAAAGGAGTTGCAGCATGGGGCATTCACCTAGTAAACACACAGCAAAGGGTGGCATGTTCATGGTAAAAGTCAACAGTCATAAATAAATACCTTCACGTTTTATTCCAGCATATTTCATCCAGTCAAAGTGTCATAATCACATTCTAAAATCAACTAGTAAAATGGCTAAGAAGATAGGTTAGGTGTTAAATACCTGATATTTTAATCAGCAAACATGGAATGGGTACTGTTGTTGGGTTTACTTACCTGCTTGCCAGCTCTCTTTTCAAACAGGATCGAAAGGAGATGGCGCGCTCCATTGCTTTGTATCCCTGAGAATTATGTTATGTGGTGACAGAAGAAAGGGAAAATGCAGGGGAATGAATGAACAGGGAAAGTTGTTTGGAACAGTATAAAAGAGAGGAAGGCAAGTGGGAAATAAATCAGATGTTAGGATTGTAATAAAGTTAGGAGTGGCATTTTGCGGGGACAACAAAGGAAGCAAGAATGCATGAAAGAGTGTGAGAGGAGAGAAAGAAACAGAAGTGGTGAGTTATCAAAGATAAGGAAGCCAAACAACTACTGGGTTACAAAATACAAAACTGGAACTAATGTTCGCTTAATTTTGTTGAGCAATGTTGACAGTCGTCTGTGTTGAGGTATCAGAAAACACCTCCTCCACTCAGTGCTGTTACACCTGGAGAAGGCTGGGAGCACTGTGAGAATCATGTTCTTTGATTTCTCCAGTGCCTTCAACACCATCCAGCCCAACTTACTGGGAGACAAACTGCAGAACGCCGGAGTGGACCACCACCTCACAGCATGGATTATAGACTACCTCACAAACCGGCCGCAGTACGTGAGGGTACAGAGCTGTGAGTCGGACAGGCTTCTCTGCAGCACTGGCTGTTCTGGCTCCATTCCCGTTCATCCTCTACACCTCGGACTTCAGACACACCACTCCAAACTGCCACCTTCAGAAGTTCTCCGATGACTCTGTGATTGTAGCCCTCATTACAGAGGGAGACGATCGGGAGTACAAGGGACTGACGAAGGACTTTGTGGACTGGTGACAGCAGAATCACCTCCAGATCAACTCGAGGAAAACTAAGAAGTTGGTTGTGGATTTCTGCAGGAAACAGTCCTCACCTGCACTGGTGAACATCCAGGGTATGGACATAGAGAGGGTGACCTCCTACAAGTACCTAGGTGTTCTTCTAAACAATAAATTGGACTGGTCTACTAACATGGATGCCCTGATTAGGAAAAGACAGAGCCGACTTTTCCTACTCAGGAAACTGAGGTCTTTTGAGGTTCAGGGGTCACTCCTTAAGACTTTCTATAACTCGGTGGTGACTTCGGCCATCCATTATGGCATTGTCTGCTGGTCAGGCAGCATCTCGGCCCGGGACAGAAAGAGACTGGAGCAACTGGTCAGGAGGGCCAGTTCTGTCCTGGGCTGCTCCCTAGACGCTCTGGAGGAGGTGGGCAACAGGAGGATGCTAGCTAAGCTAAAAGCTATGATGGACAGTCCCTCCCACCCTCCCCAGCCCGCCCTGACAGCACTAGGTAGCTCCTTCAGCCAGAGACTGTTACACCCGCGCTGCAAGAAGAAGAGATACCGCCGCTCGTTCCTACCGACTGCTGTCAGGCTGTTGAATAAAAAATAAAATGATGCGAATTACAATTGTAAATAGCACAGCCACATATCTATATTTATATTGCACTTAATTGAACGGTGTACATTGAAACTGTAACATTTATTTTGTGAATGCAAACACTTTGTTTTTCTTCTTTCTTCTTTCAACCCACAATCTTGCTGCTGCAGACTGTAAATTTCCCCAGTGTGGGACAAATAAAGAACATCTTATCTTAGAGAGCAGTGCTTTTTCTCTAGAAGCAGCTCAGTGCAGTGACATGAGGTGGTTTCCATTTCTTTTAGAGTTTTTCACCACTTCAAATAATTAGGTGGGGTTGATAGCAGCCTTTTTTCTCCAAGCTGTCAAGGATAGTAAAGATCAAACATCTTGAAAAATCCCCACCGCTTTCACTATATGTTGGTGATAGGAACGGCGGTTCATTTGATTGTGCTGAATCACATGAATCAGTTCATTAAAAGGTTTCATTCAAAACATTTGTTGACCGAATCGTTCAGGACTTTTTAATTCCGTTCATAATTCAGCCCTGAGGTTCACATTCACTCTAACATGTTCACTTACAGAGGGATGGTGCATTCATGGGTCATAGTACATTCTGTAGCGATGCTGCCTTACTTTAAGTGTTATCCATGAAGTGTCTAAAATTACCCGTTCTTTTATATTGTCGCCTTGACCAAATATTGCAAACCAGGAATGGTGGGGAGAGATAAAAAACAAAAAAAGATATTATAAAAACCTTCAAAAATGACGTGCAGATTTGATCATGAAACACAAAGAAGACTGTTGCAACTAAGCTGCAGTAATAATAGTGGTTCTTCACAGATCAGAAAGCCTCTACATAGTTTTGTTAGCCTGTCTATGGTGCTTCACATTATGTGTTAGCATAAATGTGATGTGGTTTGATTGTATACACAATGTGTAAAATTTTGTTTTATGTTTCATGTAAACACCCCCTGGGAATGGCAATAAAATGAAACAAGCATCTTTAAAAAAACAGCTGGCTCTCAAACGGCAAACAGAACTCTCAGGGAGGGCAAAATGGACATCATGGTGAAAAAAAGACCTCGCGCGCGTAAGGTAAATTTATACTCACAAACAAACAGAAAACAAAACAATTGACTGAGTGATGACTCATTTGTCGAAAAACCCATAAAATGGAGCAGTTGGAGGTCAAGGTACAAATGCATTGATACTTAACGATAGGATGGATGCTTTTGGATGCTTCAGCAAACATAAAACATTAGATTTTAAATGTCAGGTGGAGAAAATCTGTGTTTAAATTGTGTTCAACCAGGACAACACAGGCTTAGACTTATGCCTGTGTTTTGAGGGGTCTATTTATGATTCTTTAACATACTGCATATATACAGTACATAAAACTGTGCAGGTCACTAAATCATGTGCCTGCTCTCATTAACAATTTCCGTTGGTGCACGTCATTTGAAAAGCTACTTCCTCACCCTGGCGCCTCGGTGCAGCCTGTCCTTCATGATGCCAATGAACTCCTTATAAGAGAGCTGGTCATCGTGATCCACGTCAAAGATCTTGAAGATAGTGTTTACCAAGTGCCGTGTCAGCTTGAGACCTGTGGCCACATATACTGCTCTCGCAAACTCATCTGGCAGGGGACAAAGACAAATATTGTGTATCTCACAGAAAAAGGGAACCACATGTGCCGATAACTGTAGCTTTCACAGCTCTGTCCCAACCTTGCCCGATGGAGCGAGAAGCAAAATTGTACATCTGCATGGCAATGGCAAAGTCCTCTAGGTTGTTGAGAAATTGGAAGAAGCAGCGGAACTCATCAAAAGTGATTCCCTCAAACAGCGAAAGAAACAGACAGGCATTAATACTCTGAGGCAAATCAGGTCACTGATGCATCTATTAAAAACACAGCAAAAAATAAGTGTGGAATGAGCAAAAGTAGCCGCTCATGCCAATAAAGCGATTTACCATGTGACTGGCTGTTTACTGCCTTGAGACTGTAAACGGGAAGTTTATTGGGAAATGAATGATCATTTGAAAAACTTGAAAACATAGGATTTTGTTTTGAGACAAACGCTGATGAATTCTAATAAATATCAATCGATCAATCAATCATTTTATGACTAGCTATACGAATAGATTTTTGATAGAGAGTGAAAAGACTGACAGCACGTGTGCATTTATGAGATGTGTGTGTGTGTGTGTGTGTGTGTGTGTGTGTGTGTGTGTGTGTGTGTGTGCGCGCGTGCGTGTGTGTGTGTGGTCAAGCGAGGCAGTTGAGCATTGAAGTGTGGAGCACGACAACAGCCGCAGGCAGAAATGGTGGTGGGAAATTTCAGGTACTATTCAAGGCTGGGAGGCAGAAGCACTCACAGAAGAAGAATAAATCAAACAGATGTGTGAGGGAATTGAAGTGCTGCTGCTCGCTAAAGATAAAATGTCAAACCAAAACATCACTTGAAATTTGTATCGCAAAAAATGTGCAATTTCTTGTCAGTGGATATAGGGGTTTTTTTTGTTTTTTTTTGACAAACATTTTCTCGTCTTTAGTTGCTTTTTGTTCGATCCGGGCTCCGGCCTTCATGTGTGGAGTTTGCATGTTTTCCCTGGGCCTGGGTGGGTTTTCTCCGGGTACTCCGGTTTCCTCCTACATTCCAAAAACATGCAGGACACCGGCCCTCGAGGACCGGACTTCGACACCTGTGCTCTAAAGTGTCCCTAGGTGTGATAGCGAGCATGAATGGTTGTTCGTCTATGTGTGCCCCGCGAGTAGCTGGCAACAGGGTGTCCCCGGCCTACTGCCCGAAGACGGCTCGGATAGGCTCCAGCACCCGCCGCGACCCTTGTGAGGGTAAAGCAGTTCAGAAAATGAATGGATGGATGGATGGACATCACTGTTAACATCAGCTTTACAGATGCCACATCTGCTCTACAGGAGGGGTATGTTTTTTGGCAAGTACAGCTCCTTTGCCAAATTGTATCCATTGAAAAAACTCAGCAGATATTTATTTCAGGCACAACAATTTTTTTTGTTGATTGGACAGAGAACCAGTAAGTGTGTTGGGGCACAACTTGTCTTAATGCAGGAGTGACTGTTGAGAGAAAAACAGCATGCCTACCTTTTCATCAGGTATGCTTTGTCGAACATTTTCCAGGTAGGCACCAATATTCTCCACGTTGGTGAAGCGCAAGAGAATCTTGGCAAAGTCCTCTTCACTGATGGTGGCCATTCCTTTAGAGTAGGTCAGAAATTCAATCTCCAGTACTTCAGTCTGGAGGTTATCCATGAACCTGAAAATGTAAACCAACGGACAGCATAGATTTAATTTGAAATCAGGTAAAAAAAAATTACTGTAATAATAAAAAAAGTGACTTGTTAAGTAAATGTGTGAATTTGCGTGCATGAAGTCATCACAAGCTTATGTGCAAGCTACGGGATACCTATAAAAGTCATCAAAAGTGAGCTCAGCCTTCCCTTTCTTCCCGAAGAAATGAACCAGAAGGGTGGTGTCAATAGTTAGACTCTCATCTGCACGCTTAAGTCAAAAACAAAGGAGACAAAAAGGGAAAGATAAAAGAAATGTGACAGATGCTTCAACAAAACTTACACAACACTTTTGATTTAGAAAACGCTGTCCGTTTCTCAATACAGCACCAACGAAGGGAGTTGCTAATATTTTTATACTAAAGCAAAGCTGTCTTGGTGATCAGTGCACCCCAAGATAGCTCACAAACTGAAGTGAACGCCATTAAGTGGATTTTGACTGTTGTCAATATGGATCCATGATCTCACAGGTTAAAAAACCCCAAAAAACACAACAATGTATATTGAGAAACTGCATGAAGAGGACAAGACCATTTTGAATTCGACAGCACAAGCATCGGGTCAAGCGATTTGGTGAATGCAAATCATCTCAACCAATCAGGTTTAAAAAATAGTCAGCAGTCCCAATGACAACATTGCCTCAACGCATGTCATATTTGTTGTTGATTTTTCTGAAAGGTTTACTCGTACATCAAGTTATCCAAAGCCATCCTTGAACTCACGGTTACCAAAATCTGACAACAGATTTGGTAAGCTTGTTCAGTTTGTACATTATCCGAGGACATGTATCGTTACCACTGGAAGCCAAGTGATAATCAAAGACGCGCAATTGAAGACATCCTCAGAGCCATCAAACTATTATTTCTTGACAAAAGAGCTCAACACCACAGTTGAAATGATCTTAAACCTCTATCTCAGACTGGTGACTTTTTTTTGTTACAGCAAAGAACATCCTTTTGCAAAGAAATCGAGCTTACATTGTAGCACATAACTGATACAGCTGATACCGTCACGCTGAACATCGCCAAACATGCTCGTGGTAGAACCGGAAAATAGATAGGAAGAAGATGTAAAAGGAGGAGAGACAGAATCCAGACTGAAGTTGAGACAGATGAAGTAGCTGGTGCAAAGCTGCAATCAAAGCAGCACATCCCATGCATTTCGCTGCAAATGGTGAACAGCACCACAGCAGAGCACACATGCAAAGCAAACCTTTTTTCTTTCATTTCATCTTCTTATATGCGCTTCCATCCATTTCGGCAAGTAGGTCTACATTCAGCTACTGGGATAATAAGCCAATTAATAGACTTTGTTCTATTTGTTATTCTTGCCCATGAGCTCTTGGTTATTATGCTTTTAACCCTTGTAAAGGCACTACAGAGAAGATGATTAGGATTTGTGTAGTGGTCTTTTTAAGTGACTAAACATGGGGATTTTTCAGGATTGGCATGAATATAGATTACATGAAAAAAAACTCCTCAGAAATGGGTCATTGGGCTTTTGATCAGTTCCAATGAAAAAAAAAGGAAAAAAAAGACAAGTCATCTGGCATCGAGGCGGAAAGGGGGAAGTAAATATCAATTCTCAATCACAGCCATGCCCATCACTGCCAAACCTCGTTTTTGATGGCCATGCTACTATAAGCAGAGATGATGTGTGGGTCCAATCTCATGTTTGCCAAAGATGGAGGAGCATTTATGCCATGGTCATAATCATTTGCACCAAAATGTTGAATGGGGGTTCTACCTCAAGATTAAAATCCTAAAACCCAAAGCAGGACAAAGACAAGTCAAAAAGGGCCAATATTCTTGCCTCTACAAGGTCACATTCATTATGTTAAAAACTGGTAAGATTACACTTTGCATGATTTAGATTGTTTGAAAAGGAGGACTGTTTAAAATACAGCAATGTTCGAACTAATTACCAGGCCACTCACATTAGTGTAAATCATACTATTGGAAATACTATTTGGCCCAAGAGTTAAGAAACCACTGAATTCATTTCAGAATCCATCAGGGTTTGGCCTCTGGATCCTAATCTTAATTTATCAAGATATGGGAATCATTAAAATGAAACTCATCCGCCGCTCATCATTGTCTCGAGCAAACGTGTCAAACTCAAGGCCTGGGGGCCAGATCCGGCCCGCAAGGTCATTTTATATGGCCCGCGAAAGCAAATCATGTGTGTCAAATTGCTAAAATCTGTACCGAAATGTCAAATCGTCATGTGTAATAAATAATGTTGAGATTTTGCAATCATTTTGTTTCCCCGTTTACCCTCACTTGAACATTAATTGAAAAAAACTATTTTAATCGACTTGATTGATTTCAAAACTAGTAATCTATTAATGTGTTGTGTAAAAGTAATAATTTTGTGGTTTCACTGTCATAACGGCCCTCCGAGGGAAGACGTAACTCCAAATTGGCCCGCGACTAAAATGAGGTTGACACCCCTGGTCTAGAGTATGGCTCCAAATATTGACCTCTTAACGAAACCTGCAGCAATAAAACGAAGCAATACAGATGTAATGCTAAATGGATTTTAACAATGTTATCATTCCTTGAAGTGCAGCGGTAGCATTGTGAACTCACCACTCTGAAGATGACAAAATATCAACTCTGCTCACAGGTACAGGTGTGTGTGTGTGTGTGTGTGTGTGTGTGTGTGTGTGTGTGTACGTGTGTGTGTACGTGTGTGTGTGCGTGTGTGAGTGCGTGTGTTACAAATGACTTCTTATCATTTATGGCAATGGTAAAAGTAGTTAATACTGATGTAAACCCTAAATGGTCTTCTTTCGAATCTATGACTAAAACCTCAGAGGAGCAGGTCATTGTCTGTCTTTTCATTAGTCAGACCGTCAGTAAGACTTTCCACGGAATGCAGGCTACGCCACATTTTCATTCCCATGACCTGGTCTTCCCTCCCGTGTCTTCCACCTTCTGTCATTCCTTTTTACCTTCCCCGGTCACTTCTTTTCCTCTCATACTGCATGTTCTCAGTTTACCCTCATTTCCTTTCTCCTCCTGGTAACTGTCAGTGGCTTGTCCTGTAGCTGTCAGTAAGAACCTCTTTTGCCACACAAAAGCAGAGAGCTTGACTAATCTGTTGAGTAAACACATCCTTCTTTAAATACAACCTGCTTCTTTCTTTTGCCCTCAAAGTATTTCCCGAGGCTTTCTTCTACCCACCCACTTTGTACCTCAACATTTGTTGTCCGCTGACCTCTGGCCACCAATCTAGCCTCGCCTCACCTATTTGGTGATTGTATCTCTTCCTCTTTTACTCTATTTATCTGATCAACTACTTCTTATCTCAAGTGTGTTCCATCACTTCAGCGTCTTCTTCTTTCCACAATTGAGTTTACCTTTTGCGTACGTTTGCATCATTTATTCAGAATCAAATGTCAAACAATTTGAATTTGGTGGATGTTTTCCCATTTTGTTGATTTTGTTTTGTCACCTTGCCTGATCCTGTGTGTGCTCTGTCCATCTGACATCCCAGCAGATGAAAGGCTCCGGAGAGTAAATACAAGGTCAGACCCGATACACTTCACTGTCATTACCTTCACCTCAGCTTCCGCTGCCACGGCAGTGCCGCAGCACAAAGCCTGTCATTAGAGAGCTAGCCAGCGTGCTATGTTTTAGCTGTTACTCATCATTGGCAACACCTCCAAGGTGGCTTTCAGGTGCGTGTTTTTTTGGGGGGGGGTTTGCGCAGATTGCTGCCTTTCAAACCAGTTCACGGTGTTTTACAACCTAAAACTATTCGACTGTGTGCTGAGTGATTTTCATATCTACAAATGGTAGCGTTTGTTGAACAGAATTACGATCATTCACCAATTCATGTCATTAATGCCTACAGACCCTTTACAGGGCAAGAAAAAAATTGCTAACTATTGAAGCCAAAATGAATGCCACATGATTTCCTCCAGGCAATTAATGAAAAAAGTAATAAAAATAATGAAAGCTACTGTAGATTCTAATTAAATGTGATGAAAGATGAATAGAGCACCATTTTAACGATGGTAATATTTACAATTTTTGAAATCAGTGTTGCGCAAGCATTTCTGAGGTTAGCATTTTGAATTGCAAACAATTGCATTGAGTGTTCAATAGGATATAGGGTTAAACGTGCTGTCAATGATGAACGGTTTAACACGAAGATTGGCCACAAAACAATATAGATTCGTATTAGACAGATATCAAGAAAAAAAAAAACCCCAAGAGATTAGTTATTAAACAAACATACAAACATACATTATCCTGTATTATCTAATATCGGACAATTACGTCACCACAGTATAGTAGAGCTTTTTAAATAAGCACGAACAGACATACAGAAAATAAATGTGCTCTATCCAAACCGTTTAAAGTATGATTTCACCAAAATAAATACATACATTTAGGTGATCATAAGGGAATGCAAGATGAAGTTTATGTACTGTTATGAGTGCAAAAACCTTAAAGAAAGAAATGAAGTCTGAAAAAAATGAAGATGGTAAGGGGGGTAAAAAAAAAGGGGGGTGGGGGGAGCTGGGAAGGATTTGGTGGCATTTCTCAACTGATGTTAAGCAGACAAATGAATAAAGACGGTTGATACACGTCTGTCTTGACTCAAGCCAACAAAAAGACCTTGCAGTTTGATAATGCATCTTAACAAATTGTTCATTTTTATGCCTTTTCGTTTTCAGGGAACTCATTGTGGAAATAGCCTCGTTGTCTTCATGCATTTTAGGTCTTATTCTGCTATGCGTGATCAGAACAGACAGACATACAGGGATGATTAGAGAATTAAAAAAAAAGGGGGGGGGGGTTAATAAAAAACACTGGAAGAATGACAAGATAGAGGACAGGTGGGTCTGTGTACCTCCGCCAGGTCAGAAAAGAGGATTTGGCTGGCGCCTCGCCTTAGAACGTCCCAGTAACTCCGCGCCACAAACTCCTGACTGTCTTTTTTTAGCACCTGTAGGGGTGGTCAAGGGGGGGGGCCAGTGTCAGTTCACTTCCAACACCACCACTTCAGGAATTAGCTTCTGCATTTTACCGATCAATCCGATTTTGTAATATACTGTATAATCATATTAAAGTGATGTGCCATAATTTTTTATGTAAAAACCTGCTTGTAAACATTAATTTGAAAGATTAAGAATATAAATTCTCACATTAAAAGGACAGTGGCATGAAACTCATTAGCATCACGAATACTAGGTGATATCCCAATAAAAGATTTTGCGGCATCTGGTGGCCATAGTCCATGCACCAAATTGTTGTGTTTGTGCTAGCACATACAGAAGCAAAATGTGGAAATAGAAAAAGAAATGTTCTGACTAAAAACCCGACTTCTGTCCTTGACCCTGATGAAGAGCTGCTTGTACTGAAGTGTGCCGCCTCGAAAAAAGTGGAGTTGATGAGTTCTGACCACCTGATTCTCATTTTCTTCACGGTGAACACGACTGAAAGCTTTTTACCATGACCGCACCCTGGTGTTAAAAGTCATTATGAGAACACATCTATCCTCCACAGCACTTCACACAGATCTGACTAGCTCGGAAATCCTTAATCACCAATGTTTAGTCAGTGACAAAATACAGCATTTCATTCAGGATTCTGTTTGGAAAGTGCTGGAAGTGTATTGCTTCTGTCTTCAAAGTGCCCCACATCACTCAAAACCACATCATCACACTATTCTCATTTAATTATACTTGATCACAGATTGCCCCTTATATGTATTAGTCCTCTTCAGTTCCCCCTCTTTTTATTCATGCTGAAATCAATCACGGAACTGATGGGGAAAAAAATAGCAACTAACATTAAATATCGCAAATAGAACAGTATTCGGTGTTGCTTCCGACACTAAATCACTTGAAGAATCCCTACGTTAAGCCGTTTAATATGAGGCCAACAACAAGCACAATTTTAAACTGATTAATTATTTCATGTGGGGATTACACCCTTTTAATCACATTCTCAAACCATCTAAGGTGAGCAAAAAGAACACTACGGGGGTATGTTGTTGTTGTTTTTTTTTTTTTTGATACATACGCTGTTCATGGGGGCAACCTGATATCCATACAGCTGCATACTCTACCACACAGCGAAGAGGCATGAGGGAGAGACAGAGGACGGCAGAGCATGCAGTCAGAGAGGAAGGAGGAGAGAAGATAAAAGACATGTTAGTACATGCAAGAGGAGAGGTTGTGGATACACTCTGCATAGGGAGGGACATGTCCAATTTCCAATGCATCTCTGATTATATATTAGAGGAACACATGTTTCACAAAAAATCTTTTTAAATGTGTATCTCTAGATTATGTAGCTGTATATTAAATGGATAGTATATACTATATTTTTTCCCCAAAAGTATTACAGGTAGTATGCAGGGCTCGACGTTAACACAGACCAACTTACTTTTGGTTTGCACGTAGCTCATGGTGGTTAGATCAGAGCAGCTTACATATGATCCATTAGTCAATTAAGGGCAAAATAATCGGAAACTAAAAAGTCGATTATCAAAACAATCATTTGTGGCCGGCCTCATTTTGATCAGTAAACAGTTCTCTCAAATCTCTGCCCCTTTGACAAATGTAATTAGAACTTCTTTCAGCCAGCCCACAGTTAATGCAAGCCCTTATGTTAAAAATATGCCCATAAAGATTGTCCTCAATCAATCATTTAAAATGTGGATGTGCAACGTTGACAAAACAGTCTGATAAGATCCGCAAATTAATTTTCCCAAATACATTTTCCTTAAGTCAGAACACCAATATTTGCTATTTAACATGTATTAACATATTGTCTGAACTCTTCTTCAACAATTTTTTCATGTCAGCAAATGCATTGTTAGAAGTGGTTAATGAATACAAGAAAACGTTGTTCCTAAGCCTTAATCACAGAAGCATGGAATAAGACCAATTATACAAGAGTATATCCATTTGATCCAATAACAAGTTGGGAAGTCACCATCATGGTACAACAGAGAACAAAAACTTGTAAGGCAGCATGCACTCAGTCATGGTTAGATGACGGGTTATTAACCTAATACCTCCACAGATGAGAATAAACTGCTATGGAATGATTATTATCATTTTAAATGTATCCATGTGTACAGTTTGGCACAGCAGTTCAATATCGTTTAAAGCACAACACCACAGCAACTGTTGCATTCCAATACCTTCATGGATGATTTAAGATGATTGAAGCCAACAGCGTTTTACTGTTTGGATTATTATTAATATGATGAATAGTCTCAATAATATAATGGATAAGTGCTATCAGTTTTAGTCAACATAGACAATCCATAATCGTTACAACATTGGTTATATTCATGACAACTAGGAAACTGGATTGTTTTGACCCCACAGTCCTGATTACCAACTCACTTACCAACTGTGCAGACTTCTCAGCATTCCCTTTCCTCCCCTTCTTCTCATTTTTCTTCCGGAAGATCTCTTGAAGCTACAAACACGTCAAGAATAAAGACCTTTATAACACAAGTGATGTTTATTTTTATACACCGTAATTAAATATAAACCACACAGGATTTGCACTCATGCCCACTTGATTTATGTAAACCTCAGTGATTAAACCTGAAATATATTTTTTTCTGCCTACTATGGTACTGTCCATTAAGACAAAACCTACTAAATAGCCATTAATTATCATCATTACTGTCAGAAATTAAACTGAAAATAGAATGAAAATCATGTCATGGATGATTGGTTTCCCCTTCCTATTAGCGACTTACCACCAAGAACTCCCTCTTGTCCACCATCTGGTTGCCGTCTGCATCAAACATATTGAAAGCAATCTTAAAACCAGCATGGGGCTCTGCAGCAGAGGAGGACACACATGGTGAGGGTTATCAACAGACTCTGTTAAAGATATTTGTAAATAGCCAAATAGCATACAGTCAGAAGTGAATAATGGTTGGATGCAGCGTAAATTAGCATGACTTTTAATTTAATTAATTCCTTCAATTTCGTAACAAATTTATATGCTTCAAGTATAGTTAGCAGTTGAACGGCTTCCCAGAGTGGATTATTTTTGGATCTCAGAAGCTCCCCTGGGCTACCCATTTTATTAATTGTTTTAATTCTAGCACAAATTACAGTTATTGTATCATTTGATTGTCAGCTTCTCCAAATTACAATAAAATGTATGGCACAATTTTGTATCACAGATGAAATATGTAAGCTCTGACACACACCGAGCTATGCAGCCATACCTGACTGACCCGTCGCACAGTGTGCATGGTTTTTATGAGTGGCCGACCATCGGCCAAGAGTTTTACTGCGAATGAAAATTGAATGTCAAGTGACCATGTCATAAATGTAATGGCCAATCAATAATGTCATACCACATCAGATGAGCTTTCACAACAAAAAAAACAAACATTTCTGGGTGTGAACTAAAATCCACCAGCCACCAAGCTGTACCAAGACAGTCTATGAAGTATTGTAATTCACAATAATATTGAACTGCATTTATCATATCATACGTACCCGATTCCTCTTTGTATTATTGTAATACAGATACAGTGGCCAGGGCAATTTCCTTAACTTTCTTCACAATCACACCATATTGTTTGTGGATTAATGAAATAAATAAAACTGTTCTGTACTGTTTATGTGGCACCCCAAAACATTGTTTCTTAGGAAGAACCCCAGGGGTCGCTGTTTATACGTTGCAACGATCATCAGTCGCGCCAGTCATGAGCGATTGTCCTGACCTATTCAGGCACTTACAGCCAAGTTGCTTGGTGTGCGGTGGCTCAAAATGTCTTTCGTTTACAATCATTGGTTTTGAAATAGGATTGTAATATTTAATATCCTACTATATTCAATGTTCTATCCATTACACGTTTTGTTTTGTTTTTTAACCCTTTTATGTTTTGGCCTTTTTTTGAAAGCATGGCCTCTTTTGCTTATGACTGTCTTGTAGGTTGAAAATTGTGAAAACTGTAGGGCTGAAGGTTTGCACTGAATTTACAATGGTAAACTTCACTTATAGCTGTAGAGCTATGTCTACATTTAATTGGATTCTTTGTGATCTTTCTTACCTGGAGAGGAACCTGTAACTATGGCAATAGCAGATGTAATAACCTCACTAACTTTGGTCTCCCAAATATGTAGAGTGCAGAGACAGCAGGATATGGAGGGACTCACTTGTCAGGATGCAGAGCAGGAACAGGTACTCTGTGTATGAGATGATACCTAGCAATGAGATCATGAGGGAGTTAGTAGGGGGATGGCCGTATACAAACACATAGACACCATAGCACATAATAATTCCTTTCGCGAACATAGCATCTTTTTTTTTTTTCTTGAAGTAAACCAATAATGCATTTGGTCACACACTATTTCTAGCAATGTGACAAGGGGCTGCCATTTCCTCCAAAGGAGCCCACTTGGAGGACACTTAGGAATTTCTGCCCGACTGATCTTAGTAATGGTTATTTGTAGCGAAACTTGTCAGCTAATCGAAGAAGGGATTCCCCAAGTAGCAGACAAAAATCGAGGCTCAACTGTAGCTGTGGACATCTGGACACCATAAGCAAAGATGATGGAAAATGAAGCCTTAATGGGTGAGGACTGGCATTGTGCTCAGGTTTCATTATATTCGTTGAAACCTATAGCAACTGTTAATATTGAAAATGTCATGTATAAAGGGGGGTTCAGGTCGGGGTTGACCACAAAAAGCAGCAGTGAGCTTTCAGTCAGTAATGACGGAAAGTCCATCAGTCCGCCACTGACGGACGCCCGCCTTGCCGACGACTGACAAATGACAAGAACATTTTTAAAAAGATGACAGACAAAGTACTGACGGAAGTGGGTTTTTGTCCGTTAGTGTAATCGCCACTACCCAGGCCAAGTAGTGATGGACCTCTGAGAAAACTCACGCAGGCACAGGGAGAACATGCAAACTCCACACAGGAAGGCCAGAGCCGGAATCGAACCTTGCACCTCTACATTGTGAGGCGGACGTGCTAACCAGTGGATCACAGTGCCACTGCCAACTACATTAATATGTTAATTTTTAAGAATAGATATCTTAAGAAATTACACTAACTTGAAGGTGCTTTCCTGACCATATTTTCAACAGGCAACATAAAACAAAAGCGTTCCCCAAAAGGCTGCCCCCCGCCCCCAACACACACACACACACACACACACACACACACACACACAAAGCTCCTCTCCAGAACACTTCATCTGATTTTAAAAATTCTTGCTGTGCTGTACTCAGGTTTGACAGGACTTTCCAACCAAATTTGGCATTTTGACGAATTTTCATTTTCGGGAAATTCTGTCACATTGCTACGATTTACTTCTATACAAACTGGGTGTCAAGAAAAGACCATTGTGTGTGTGTGTGTGTGTGTGTGTGTGTGTGTGTGTGTGTGTGTGTGTGTGTGTGTGTGTGTAAGCAGGTGAAAAATGCCTCAGGATGTGATCCTTTCTTACTTCAGGCCCATTAACACTCTTTTTCGCTTTCTGTCTGATTGTCCAGATAGTTCAGGGTGACTCGCTTGAGTGTTATGGGACACTGCTTTCTCGTGGATGTGTGTTTGTGTGTTGCTGAACATGACACCAGGTAGAACCAGTGACAAGCTTGTGTTTCCTACTTTGTGTAACGGAGCTGATTTGGAACCAAACTCCCACCCCTACCCCTTCCCATGTAGCTTGACCAACACGATCACGCCATGCACTCAAACGATCGAGGGTCCTCTCGGAGACAGATAGAAAAAAATAATACTCTATATACTCTGGATTTAATTACAATTGTTGTTCTATTATGAGTTCCACAGGTTTTCACACATTCTGTTTCATCAAATGCAAATCTTGGCTATAAAATAGTGCTGCTTGTAATGCTTAATATTTTGTGTCTTTGTGCAATACCTTTATTACCAATATCTGTTCCTATGCCTAGTCCATTTTCCCAAAGAACAGCAAACCCCAGTTTTATCATATAAGGTAGAAAGGAATGTTAATCTCAACAGAGAAAACATGAAACACACACACAGCATTCCATTTAATTTTGTCACTCTGCGAAAGCTGTCGCCATTCCAAGGAATTTAACTGTTCCTGCTCAGCACGAGAATACGTGTCCTGACAAACACAGATTGTATTACATACATATCAGGGCTTTAACTGACATATTGCAAAATTAAATGGGGAAATGCCCAGAGGTATACAACTCCTTTTTACGCGGGGTGGCGAGGAGGGGGAGGTGCTATAATATCTCATTGCTGCTGCATACTTATATGAGGACAAGAGAAGCGGGAAGAGAGGAGAGGAGATGTGGTTTATTTTTAGTTTGGTCAGCAGGTTGGTTGGCAGTCAGAAGCGACAGCATGCCTCCAACCTCGGATTAGAGACACCTACCGTGACTCACGCAAACACACACATTGGCAGGTAAGTCCTGAGTAAAATTGAGTAAAAATATGGTATTTGAGATGTGAGCCATAAAGATTCATCAATATAATCTTTACGAAGAGAAGTAAATCGTATGGCCAATACTTTGTTAAAACACTCAAACCAATACAGCAATTCATTGTCTGCAGTGAGTATTAAGACAATTTAAATCATTTCACTTAGGATATGGTTACAGTCAATATTTTAGTTGCGTAAAGTACCTTTTCTGCACTATTGCTGTACATGGATGTGCGTCTATATGAGTGCATACTGTACCTCGTTCTCTCAGGTTGCGGAATAGCTTGGACGATCCTCTCCATACCGGGGGAGTATCTGAGAGGATTTTCTCTAGCTCCTGGAATGTGAATGGATAAAATGAATGTCACTTCATGTAAATTGGCAAATATGTTTCATTCACAATAATTTACTGTCCACAAGTGTAGCTTGAAACATGTCCCATAGGTTTAAGCAAAAACACTAGCAAGTTGGGTTCATAACCTGACATAATGCTTGCTGGACATGCAATAATCGAGCGACGAGAAAAGATAACAAGTGTCTATTGAGAATGTTTTTGAACACACCTACTATGGAATTTAAGATAAACACCCCCCAAAAATCTCCAGGCTTAAAAAAGTCGAATTCAACATGTTCTAGGACTTTTTAAAGGCCATTTCGACCAGAGCATTTGTCAAATTCAGAAACGACAGCAATACTGTTGGATACATTTATTGTGCCTGTGGCAAGGCTTTAATTTCTGAAAAACAAAGTTTGAATCATACTAACGGTCACATTGAACTGAGTTGATTGTGTATAATTTAAATGGATCGTCTTTTGAGGCACTTGAGTTTACAACAAGTGCATTTTTGGATGCAACCAGCAGAGATTTTACCATTCTAATGTATGGCTATGACGCTACGGGGGTGGGGGGACCAACCACATATAAAATACAAAAAATGCTGACAACAAGGAGGAAAGAAGAAAGAAGCTTTCAGAGTGTGTCTCCCACCTGTTTGGTCAGGGACCTCCAGGGCCTCTTGTCTGCCAAGGGAGCCAGACAAAAAAGAGAAAAAGAAGGGAAAGAGGAGAAGAGGGTTTGGGTGGGCTCTGTCAGATAGCATCTGTGTTATCTAGAAATGGGTCTTAATGTGCACGCTACAGTCACAACACACACGCATGCTGTATATACAACTGTGATCATCATGTGTGTGTGTGTGTGTGTGTGTGTGTGTGTGTAAGCAGGTGAAAAATGTCTCAGGATGTGATCCTTTCTTACTTCAGGCCCATTAACACTCTTTTTCGCTTTCTGTCTGATTGTCCAGATAGTTCAGGGTGACTCGCTTGAGTGTTATGGGACACTGCTTTCTCGTGGATGTGTGTTTGTGTGTTGCTGAACATGACACCAGGTAGAACCAGTGACAAGCTTGTGTTTCCTACTTTGTGTAACGGAGCTGATTTGGAACCAAACTCCCACCCCTACCCCTTCCCATGTAGCTTGACCAACACGATCACGCCATGCACTCAAACGATCGAGGGTCCTCTCGGAGACAGATAGAAAAAAATAATACTCTATATACTCTGGATTTAATTACAATTGTTGTTCTATTATGAGTTCCACAGGTTTTCACACATTCTGTTTCATCAAATGCAAATCTTGGCTATAAAATAGTGCTGCTTGTAATGCTTAATATTTTGTGTCTTTGTGCAATACCTTTATTACCAATATCTGTTCCTATGCCTAGTCCATTTTCCCAAAGAACAGCAAACCCCAGTTTTATCATATAAGGTAGAAAGGAATGTTAATCTCAACAGAGAAAACATGAAACACACACACAGCATTCCATTTAATTTTGTCACTCTGCGAAAGCTGTCGCCATTCCAAGGAATTTAACTGTTCCTGCTCAGCACGAGAATACGTGTCCTGACAAACACAGATTGTATTACATACATATCAGGGCTTTAACTGACATATTGCAAAATTAAATGGGGAAATGCCCAGAGGTATACAACTCCTTTTTACGCGGGGTGGCGAGGAGGGGGAGGTGCTATAATATCTCATTGCTGCTGCATACTTATATGAGGACAAGAGAAGCGGGAAGAGAGGAGAGGAGATGTGGTTTATTTTTAGTTTGGTCAGCAGGTTGGTTGGCAGTCAGAAGCGACAGCATGCCTCCAACCTCGGATTAGAGACACCTACCGTGACTCACGCAAACACACACATTGGCAGGTAAGTCCTGAGTAAAATTGAGTAAAAATATGGTATTTGAGATGTGAGCCATAAAGATTCATCAATATAATCTTTACGAAGAGAAGTAAATCGTATGGCCAATACTTTGTTAAAACACTCAAACCAATACAGCAATTCATTGTCTGCAGTGAGTATTAAGACAATTTAAATCATTTCACTTAGGATATGGTTACAGTCAATATTTTAGTTGCGTAAAGTACCTTTTCTGCACTATTGCTGTACATGGATGTGCGTCTATATGAGTGCATACTGTACCTCGTTCTCTCAGGTTGCGGAATAGCTTGGACGATCCTCTCCATACCGGGGGAGTATCTGAGAGGATTTTCTCTAGCTCCTGGAATGTGAATGGATAAAATGAATGTCACTTCATGTAAATTGGCAAATATGTTTCATTCACAATAATTTACTGTCCACAAGTGTAGCTTGAAACATGTCCCATAGGTTTAAGCAAAAACACTAGCAAGTTGGGTTCATAACCTGACATAATGCTTGCTGGACATGCAATAATCGAGCGACGAGAAAAGATAACAAGTGTCTATTGAGAATGTTTTTGAACACACCTACTATGGAATTTAAGATAAACACCCCCCAAAAATCTCCAGGCTTAAAAAAGTCGAATTCAACATGTTCTAGGACTTTTTAAAGGCCATTTCGACCAGAGCATTTGTCAAATTCAGAAACGACAGCAATACTGTTGGATACATTTATTGTGCCTGTGGCAAGGCTTTAATTTCTGAAAAACAAAGTTTGAATCATACTAACGGTCACATTGAACTGAGTTGATTGTGTATAATTTAAATGGATCGTCTTTTGAGGCACTTGAGTTTACAACAAGTGCATTTTTGGATGCAACCAGCAGAGATTTTACCATTCTAATGTATGGCTATGACGCTACGGGGGTGGGGGGACCAACCACATATAAAATACAAAAAATGCTGACAACAAGGAGGAAAGAAGAAAGAAGCTTTCAGAGTGTGTCTCCCACCTGTTTGGTCAGGGACCTCCAGGGCCTCTTGTCTGCCAAGGGAGCCAGACAAAAAAGAGAAAAAGAAGGGAAAGAGGAGAAGAGGGTTTGGGTGGGCTCTGTCAGATAGCATCTGTGTTATCTAGAAATGGGTCTTAATGTGCACGCTACAGTCACAACACACACGCATGCTGTATATACAACTGTGATCATCACAGGCCCATCTAAAGTGCCCTGTGCTGGTCTTTGTAGTAGGTGGAATGTCCCAGTAAAAGCACATACTACTTTTGTTCTTTTTTATACAACAAAGTTCATCTTAATTCAACTTCAAAGGGGGGGGCATTAGAGGATGTCAGCTGCTGAGTGGGTATGTGCGGCTGTATCGTGTGTCAGGAGCCGCGCAGATGTGAACACTCATACGGGTGCATAGTTTGCATGCAACAACTGTCCACTTCAGAACAACATTACAAAAATGTGTTGTGTGGGAATAACTGTGACAATAAAAGGAGGATCTGTGTCAACAGCAGAATTTGGGATGTTTATTGATTACAACAAAGTGCACATGTGAGCAAATGGAATGTTGAATGAAGGGAGGAGGTGAAAATGTCAATGTGTCTGACTAACATGAATCTTAGACTAAACAAAAGCTGTAAGGCCATCTGCTGGGAGGTTGTACGGGCAAATTTGGTTCAAACAGCAGCAAGTCCACAAAGATAGAAAAGGCCAGGTCAAACATTTTGATGTATGAAAATTTTAAATCAGTCCTAGGGAAAAGTTTAAGCTTGACACCAAAACATCCATTCATCCATTTTCTTATCTGCGTATCCTCATGAGGGTCGCGGGCGTGCTGGAGCCTATCCCAGCTGTCTTCGGGCAGTAGGCGGGGGACACCCTGAACCGGTTGCCAACCAATCGCAGGGCACACATAGATGGACAAACTAATATATCGCTCAGCCCGAGAGCAGAGGCCACTTATTCATTGAATGAATTTGTGTTCATGTCCTGAGCGTCATTATAAGTTTATTAAACTCATCTTGTTTATTAAACTCAAATGTGTGCACAAGAACTGATGTCACAACATATTTTCTTTTACTCATGAAAGCATGTGCTGATGTCTATACCACTGGTAAAGGAGGCCTCAACAAATGGATTATGTGTAGAAAACAATGCTATACATACTCCTTGGTTCACTCATAGTGACTGACTCAATAAAGTTCTGAGGAGTCATGTAGAGCTGCCCGTCATACTCCACAGAGCTAAACATACGGAAACGATGCTCGTGGCTCGACATGTGCACATCTCCCTCCTCAAAGTCCATCGGATGTGCCTGTTGAACAAAAACAGAACGTTTAGAATTGCTGAATCTTTTCTCACTTTGTTAAGACAACTTGTCCTCACCAATTTGTGACTAAACAATAGAAAAAAAACGATGAACTATTCTACATACAGTACACACTATATTTGATGGAAAGAACTCAGCCCCACATACATAAAGTAAGCCTGTGCAAAACATGTCTCTCTTTTTGTTGTCTCTTTTTGGTTTTTTTGCACAGTGCTTCTTGAAATTACAAATAGAGTCAGACCCTTTAGGGCAGTATTAAAAGCTGCAGTACAAGGGCACACGCAACATTTTCAGGATACTTTCAACATGATTGGAATCTCAAAGCAGCCGGGCCATCAACTTGATTAGCTGCAGTGCTACATCAACAGTTCGTGCTGCATGAAGCTTTGTAATTCCAAGACAGCTTTCCAAATTTAAACCTGCTTGGCCACAGGGCTCATTGAACCAAGGTTTCTGCACAACTCAGCTAACATACTAATGAGAATACTGATCCATTCATAAAGCTTTGATGCTGCCTTCACTGAGGAAGCATAAATATGTGATGAGTGTTCCGCTTCCTTACAGGGAAGCGTGACAAGGATGTGGTTTTGACTCTCACGAAGGAATAAAGTTTAAAAAGCATTACAGAGGCAGTATTCTTCAAATGCCAGAAATAAAATGAATAACTGTAAAAAGTATTTTTGCTATTTGAGATGAAATATTAAGTGATGTATTGCGCTTGCGTCCAGCCACGGCTTTCCTAATGCCTTATCTTTCTTCTCTGACCACACGACGGATGGTGCTCTCCCTTTCGTCCAGAGATTATCAAACGTTTTACACCAAGTACAACCTAAAAAATTAATTAGCCCAACAAGGACTATCACAATAATGGATATTAAAACACAGCAACGGAGTAGGCCTAAGTGTTCATAAAAAAATGCGACGAGGTTTTACTCCTACAATTTTTATTTAAAATTAGCACAAACCACTGTAACATTAGCCGTGTTTACATGCAGCCTTGTATAACAATGCAGTAAGTAGTGTTCTAAATCGGTGACTGAAGTCTGTTGAGTTTTACATCGATCTACGCATCACAAGGTTGTAAAATGGCAGTTCTGGTTAATATAGTGACACATAAAAAGGCAGCTTGGAATACATCATGTCAAATGTAAGCCTTCAATTGGAATAAAATTTTAATCAGAATGACAAAAAAGTCTACAAGTAAAACTGGGTTATTTTGCAGTTTAAACAGTAGCACTGTTGGGGTATGAGGAAAATATGAACAACAACAACAAAAAAGAACAATTATAAATTATTGTGCATAAATATGAAATAAAAATTGTACAGTGGCCAACAGGTTAGCACATCCACCTCACAGTTCAGAGGATGTAGGTACATATCCGGGCTCCGGTCTTCCAGTATGGAATTTGCCTTTTCTCCCTGTGCCGTGTGGGTTTTCTACTTTGCTTCCACGTGCCAAAAACATGCATTGCAGGTTAAGTGAAAACTCAATAAATTGTCTGTGTGTGTGTCAGTGTGAATGGTTGTTTGTCTATTTGTGCTCTGTCATTGGCTGGCAACTACTTTAGGGTGTACAAAGTCAGCACACCTGCTACCCATGTGAGGATTAGAGGTACAGAGAATGAATGAATGAATGAATGGATGTATTTGGGCCATGATTTTTGCATAGTACTCGATAGATCCCCAAGGGATCCACCATTCCACGATCATGGAATTTTACCGCAGATTTCAAAGCTACCCACAGAAGTCAAAACAGTTAGTGAAATATTTTGCAAGGTGCAGAATACAGTGGTACCTCGACTTACAAAATTAATTGGTTCTGGAAGAAATTTCTTAACGCTTTTTCTGGGTGATTTAGACATTTACGTAAAATTATCATAATGTCTCATGGCCAATCGGGCGAATGACAAGGACGCTGCATAGACACATCTCCATCTACACACATAGACACATACGGTAGAGGTCCCTCTTAGTCAATGGGATGCCAGGAAGATGTAAGGTAACAGCCAATGGCAGAGCAGCTATATGTATGTTGCGTTCAGGATAACTCGGAGTTGCGAGTAGCAGCACAAACTGTAGTTTTACCTTTCGTATCTTGAAATTTCTTTCGTAACAAGAGGCAATATTTTCCTGTTGAGGCATTTCATAACTTCAAAAGTTCGTATGAAGAGACATTCGGAAGTAGAGGTACCACTGTATTACATTTATATTTAGTTTTCATCCAGGCAGCTAGATGTCACGGTCAGATTGATGGGATCTAATTCTATGTTCACACTGCAGAATGTGATGCCCAATTCAGATTTTTTTGTTAAATCCAATCTTTTAATGTATGTGTTCACATCGCAAAAGCAAATGGGACATCAAAAGTGAACAGAACGCATTTGTAATGGAAGGTAGAGTTCCAAGACAAAACCCACGAAAACACGGGAAGAACATGAAAAGAAAAGCTCCAGGAAGGCCTTAGTCAAGACTCAAAATCCTGAACGTCAGAACTGTGAGGCAGACTTTCTAACAACTCATCCGCCGTTTTATCGCTGTACACCTCCTTCTCAAATTTCAATTCAAAGCTGTACCCTCATGTTTACATTTCAGCACCAGCTCGGTCGGAGAGCGCCATCACTGCATGCATGTGCGCGCGCACATCGCCCAGCTGCCAAATAATCAACAAAGCGTTTTCGGAACAAACTACATATTACATGAAAACATAACGACGTCAGTATGAACGTATTAGTACATTTGTGAAAGGCGGCGTCAATGTAGTAGTAGGTTTTCTTTCACAAAGGATTAAAAAAAACACAGACACACAAGGCCAGTGACCAAAACACGACGAGACAATATAATTCACAATTAGTAGCGATGTGTGATCAAGCTGTATTTAGTACCGTACCGCTTAAAGACACCCACCTTCTCTTTGGCTTCAACGGCTGGGATGGATGGCAACAAACCGTGGATGCTGCGAGTCACCATCTTCCTCCTCCAGCCTCGGCGGTTAATCATGTCCTCGTAGAAGTAAAGTGCCACGGCACCTCCCGTCGCAAGACAAAGCCCGAAAGTGAGACACTTCCGCGCGCCTGAGGCAGTGTGACGCCCGGTCAGCTCGTTTCTCGACACCGAGCGCAGGGTAAGCTTAGCGGCCAACGAAGCCACTCTGCGGAAGGCGGCCATTGCTGCTGTTTATGATGCGGCTAAGCTGGTGTGGTCAGAACTTTGCGGACTGTTTGGAGCTATCGCGTGACTTGGACTCTATCGCGAGAAGTGATGAATGCCAAAACAGGGAAAGCGCTGCCCATTAAGAAACGCTTATGAAAACCGATCCAAAAGCTAAACTTTATTTAAGTCAAGGAATAAGAGTTTACACCGTTAATAATATTTTGGGAGAATAATTAATAAACATGTTGAAGGCCATCACCTCATTCTTATTTAGTGGTGATGGGTCAGGGCCAGCAAGGCCGCTGCTGGCCTAAATACAGTACAGTACTATCAGAATCACTGACCTTCATTTACAATCTAAATTCAAATACCTGTTCTATGAAATGGTATTAATTTATTCCCATCACTCTAACTTAATTTCATAAGAATTGTCTTGGCTGAACTCTCTCCAAGAAGCAGTAGTTAGCCACGTCAGCTACGCTGGTAGCATGTCTTATTTGTAACAGATTGTTACTATAACACTAAATTGTATTGATTTGAAGGTTCTGTTTTGTTTTGTTTTGTTTTTTTTAGGGGGGAGGAATAGTTGCTAGTAGTTCTAACATTAGCACATGCAGTATTTTATGGTTCTGCGCAAAAAAAAAAAAAAATACTGGAGAAAAAAAAATCCTCAGTTGTAATTTTGTTTTCGGGTGGTTTTTGGCCGATTCGTGTCATTGTGAAATGTCATGACAAGCCTGTAAAATGTGTATTGTACATATCTATTTGAACCGGTTTCATAAAGAAAAGAAAACATTGGAGCCACAAAATCCTTTTGATCTCTAAAATGAAGATAATTTCTCTTTTCTTTGTTTTTATTCCTGCTGCTTACACCACCATGAGCGGGGAGGCCTTTTGCAGGCAAGTCATCATAGCTAAACTTACCTCTTGAACAGAAATGTTGCTTATTCTGTGTTGTTTCTGAATCCTCTCAGCTGCCTGAATCATTTTGCTAGTTGCACGCCAAGTTCATAGCATAAAAGGAATGGGAATTTTTTTTCATAGGTGGAAGTTCCAACATCATTTCAGCAAAGCCCCTGAAGGCCAAGCTTACAAGCAAGCACAAGGCTGAGGGGGTGTGCTGGTGACTCGCTAGAAGCGTATCCACGAGTGCATGGGAAATTATTAACACCTCTTCTGTCATGCCTTTTGTCTCTGATAGGTTGGTCTTCCTCGGCCACGTGGTCTCTTAAAAACCAAATTAGAGGCATGAGATGAGTGAAGGCCAGAGAACATGGTTTATTGTATTGTCAGGTTCATACTGATTATTGTTTTTTTTCTGTTTGTTTTTTGAAAACTAGTGAGATGTCCTTTGACCAGATTTGTTCTCTGTACTCACTCTATACAGTATCAATTTTTTAAATCGCATTGCATTTGTGTATTTAAGGTCCACTGTGGATGTCCCTGCGATTGGCTGGCAACCGGTTCAGGGTGTACCCTTCCTACTGCCCGAAGTCAGCTGGGATAGGCTCCAGCAACCCTTGTGACGATAATGGATGGATAAATATCTTCAGATTTGGAAATCAAATGACTTTCATTGGAGAGACTCTATCAAACTATTGTCGAAGATCAATTGTCCATTAAAGTTGGTAGCTACCTGTACATGTGTAAACACCAGCCTGATGAAGTCTTTCTCATGGCTTTGAAGATCAAAGGATCGAGAAGAAGTTTAAGAGAAGAACCTGTTCACACATGAAACAAGTTTCACCCTAAACCATTATTCCATTTAAACCAATGCTCACATTGCATCAAACCCTTCACTAACAAACAGTCTTTTGTCCAAAATAATCCTATTTTAATGTGAACATTATTTAGAATGTCACTTCTCTTTTGCACCTGTAATACTGATGGTAACACAAGTAGGATTTAATAGGAAGGTTTCTGTTGTTCTAGCATGTTTGGATGATTATGTATTTTAATAACTTATTCAAAACTCCCACCATCCCAGTGATCCTAAAAGAAGGGAAAATAAAAGTAATGCTCAATAGTTAGATGGAGTGTCGGGTAAATGTGATAAAAATCACATATTGTGCATTGAAAACTAATAAAAGTGACTTTATATTGCAGGTATTATGACTTCCTTTTCCATATACTAGAGTTCAGCCATATCAATCTGACAACAATGCACAACATTCACCTTCAGGCTATTTAGTTATTACCTTATCCAGCCATTCGATCAGTAATTTCATTGTGTAGGAGGGTGCAGGTTGGGATTGGATCTGGGACCCTGGGGGCAGCCTCCATGCACCTCCTTCATGCAGACATAGTTCCTACATGGTTGGCTTCACTTTGCCCCATGCCATTAAGGAAGCAGTAAACCAAGAAATCATCTAGCATAGAGTCATGTGACCCTGGGAACGCTTCACTTTGCACCTCGTGTGGAAATGTGTCATTGTAGTTAACGTCTTCATTGTGACAAGATCAATATCTAATATATCAGGATCTGATCAGCCTGGAGGCAACGCTGATCAATCCTTGGGTGTGGGGGGTGAGATACTTTCTGGTCATAAATACTAATGAATCAGGGGAAAGAAAAAGGTTGGGTGCAGACCCTGCACTGGGCGTGGTGTTTAAAATTTAAACACACCCAACACACATACATATGCAAGCCCAATCAAAATAACCACATTATCCCACAATGTCTCTTGTCCTTTTGTCAGTTTTTGACAAAATAGACAAGAGTACAAAATGATCAGAGGCACGTGCATATGGACACACACCCACACACATACCCACAAACACAAAGCATGCACAACCTCACCTTCAAGTCATTTATTAATGCAACTCCCCAGGGAGGGGGGCAGCTGTGTGTCCATGTGTGTGCATGGCCACCAAAATCAATGCAACATATAACTGGAACTTGGGCTCTGGATTTGAGACAAAACTATTTCCAACAAACCGAGAAAGAGTGTGCATTAAGAAAAAATGCAAAATTCATACATGTACAGTAGTGTGAAACAAGGCATTTATCCATGCATCACACCCAGTTTATCGTCGGTATATTGATTTTTTTTAAATCAAATTTTATATGATATTGCTCACAGCCAGAGTAGCAATCCTGCATTTATCTGAGCCAGGAAAAACTACGACTTGCAATGCTCAAATGTCCACATTGCAATGTGTAGAACTAACGGAAAGCTTGTGTAACCAGCATCTACTACGAATGTGAACCAAGCTCCTCTCAAATACTCACAACTCTAAAGTTGTATGGATGCGACATCTTTGCAAAAGCAGAAATGTTGACACAGCTCCTTACATTATGTGTAAATGATAAAATCACATTGCTAAAATTGGTAAAACCACGTACAGTTTTGTTTTTTTTTGACTGGATTTTCCTTCCTTCAACAGGAATGGTATTTTTTTAATGGTTCTTTTTAGAGAATGGGTTCCCAGTAATTTGATTCCAAGGAATAATTTGTTTTTTGCCTGCAATTCTGCTTATCAGTTCCTCTTAGAACAACAAAAAAGAAAAAAAAACTGCCACTTTGCTGCTGGTGAGGCCGCTTAAAGCGTCTCATATCTCTTGTTTGATTAAGCCGACGCTGCAGAGTGGGAATCAAGGAGCAAGTGGAGGATATAGGAAAGAATAGGTCCTAAAAGGACGATAGCGTCACGTTGTCAGCTGAGATTGGGCTCACGTCATGGCAACAGTGATAAAAGAACAAGCACAATACATTGTTAAATTTGGAGAACCGTCTATTACCGTGGCACTCACCTCGAGCGGCTCCCTCCACTCTCCTGGGAGGTGACAATTTCTAAAAGGTGTGTTTCTATGATCATGTGGAAGGTATTTAGAAAAACCAGGCCAAATATGTTAGTATTTACTTCACTCTTGAATGTATTATGTCGAAAGTTTTGGATCAAGTTGAATGCAAAAGGGGCACTGCAAATATTTCCAAATGTATGAGATATACAGTTGAAAGCTTTGTATTTACGTACGGTACAACTATAGGTAACGCATGTCATTTATCAACACATAATTTGACTGCACAGCCTGCAAACAGTTTCTGTAAGTCCAATAATCACCCGTTTAGGTCTATCAAAACCCCTGTTTTTCTGACAGCATCTAGGCAAAAAAAAAAAAGAAGTCATGCATTACAAAACCGAGTGTCATGTGTCGGGGTATTTTGGAGGCCTGCAGTTCAAACAGGTATTTCCCCACTCCAGGTTGTTTTCGCCTGATCCTCTTACAAGATCTTCTCCACTTTGAAGCGTGTGTGTCTTTGATTCACTCTTTCAGACCACAATTAAGGATGTATGAGTTGCAGTGCTGTTCAAAGACCCCTGCCAAGATCAATGATGGGATTGACAGTCAAGTGATGTCGTTTGCACAGGTGTGTACGAGCCGCTGTGTGTGTGAGTTTGCCCCTGTACGGGCCTTGTAAATGTACTGCTGCCTTACATAAAACTCGAGGGCAATAAATCAACAGCCGTCTGCGAAAATTACGCAAACGGGGGCTTTCCTTCTCCTTCTCGCCGCACCTGAGCCATTTCGATACGGGGGCGTGCACGGGGCGTTTGGGGTAATCGCAAGATCACTTTCATGCTGTTTGGCACACGCACACATTCGCGCAAAGTTTATTCTTCACACCAAGGTCGCTGCACTCGTGTAAGTGCACAAACGCTTGATTGGTTGAACAGGGATCTCCTGCCATCCCATGATAACGCCCGACCCCACCAATAAATTTTATCGAAAGTAGTTTTCATTCTAACGAAAACAGAAGGCCGTTTTAGATGCGCCTTCGTCAGCGAGTGCTGGGCTGGCTGTCTTGAGGGGCAGTGCTGAAATGCGCCATAAAGGAGGAGATCAGGGCTCATTTGCATAAAAGATCACTCGGGGCGAGTGCTACCCTGAGTGCATTATATAGACGTAAGCTGCTGCTGCCGCCTCTTGTGCTATCCATTCTGTCGCTGGATAGAGCGGGAGACCGGTCATAAATAAAAAGTAAGAAGTGAATTCAGGGGGGAAGAAGAGAAAGAGAGAGAAAGAGAAACCCCTCCAACGTGCATCGGAGCAAAGAGGAGTATCCCGAGGAGAGGCAGCGCACTGGCGAGATGATGATGATGATGATGATGCGCTGATAAACTGCAGCGCAGAGGAGGAGACGCGACGCGGTTGTGCAAAGCGGGATGTCCGCATACATCCGTTCCACGAGGTGCTGATTAACTGCACTGCAACTTTAACTTTGCGCTCTAAGAAGCTCTACGGAGCTCCACTTTCGGGTCTTGTAAAGCGGATCGGTCCGTTCGCACTGTGATGGGGGCAGCAGCTGAGGTTGGGATCTTCAACGGATTTCTGGACAGCTTTGGCTCCGCGGGTGGTACTCATTTCCTTCTCACCCCGGCCGGCGCGGTGGAATACGGCACGGTGAGCGGACTCATGCAGCAAGAGCAGCAGCAGGAGCACCTGATGTCGTCCGAACGCCTTTCCCGGAGCTTAGCGGACCTCAGCCACCTCAAGGGGATTCTGAGACGGCGACAGCTCTATTGCAGGACCGGCTTCCACATGGAAATCCACCCCGATGGTACCGTGCGGGGCACCAGAGAGGACCACAGCAGATTCGGTGCGCAAGTCATTATTATCCTTATTTTTATTTTATATTACTAATTTTAAAGCCTCGAGGTGAAATTGAACTTTTACTCTGTTGTATTGCTACGCAAACATAGAACAAAATCACTCACATGCAGGAATGCAAGGAGAGATGTCAGAGTGAAAGGGTGCTGTAGCGCTTGACAACAGCCAGGGAGCAGATTAGCATCTGTACAACAATTTGGCTGCCGCTATATTTATATTCTGCGAGAGCTGAGCCTTCAACATCTGTCTAGAAGCTCTACCGCCACCCCACAAGTATCATCAATAGTTTGGCTCAAGGGTAAAACACAGGTTTACTCTCACAGTTGATGTGAGGAATTGATTTTAACACTGGTTGTAATGCATCACCTCCAAGTTTAGATAACCTCACATAAAGTACAACACGGAGTCACATAACACTACTCAATTTTGAAGAAAACAGAGTTTAAAAGTCGGATTATTATTGCATTTGTGTATAATGCACTGCATCATGGTCTGATACATGAATTTATTAACCAACCTACCTTTTATAAACAGCTCTTTCTTAATGTGGGATGCAGCGCAGTTCTATACCAAAATGCAGCCATTCATCCATTCATTTTCTGTACTGTTTATCTTGTATGTTGTAGCCGGTCAGGATATTGCCTCCCTAGAACATCCATGGCACCCCTTGCATATTGAAGTACTTATAAAACGTTTTACCACTGTGACGACAGCTGCTGCAATATATTGAGCTACACTGTCAGTAATGGGGTTCCATAAGAGTCCATTTGTAGCGCATAAGGCTGACTAATAGGCTCCACTAACTGTTTGACGAAGGCAAAAGACGAGTATGTTTCTAAGCTACAAAAGCCAAGTGTCAATGGGACAAAAAGTACTTTATATGCCGAGAATGTACGCGTGGTGTTTTGTTTTCACACAGATTGAAAGCTTTTCATTTCATCCTGGGTTATAAAGATGATCAAAAGCTTTATCATAAACATCAAAGTAGGCCGCGTAAAGATTTATTTTTGCAGCTCACAGGTAGTAACTCTTCTGGCACTTGATTCATTCCCCCTGAGATCCAAATGTGACTTCATGCCAGAGACCATTCCAGACATCTAACCTCACTTCTTACAGCTATATTCAAGTTACTCAGATTGGAGAGTTTTACTCCTTTGGTTTAGGTAATAATTTGGGAAGAAAGTAGATAGGCAATACAAACCATAAGACGACGTTTTGATTTTTCCTGTCGAAGAGTTCTGTGTTTTAATGTGTTTTAACCTGTGCTCAGGTATTTTGGAGTTTATCAGTCTGGCTGTGGGGCTGGTGAGCATCAGAGGTGTGGACAGTGGCCTTTACCTCTCCATGAACAGCAAAGGGGAACTGTATGGATCGGTGAGTATATTTTTGTTTCCAATCATAAAATCTCCTGCGTTACCTCATTGACAGTGGCGGCTGGTGGAATCTTTGCCAGGGGAGTGGTAGTCAAATATACGTACATTCATTTTATTATCTTTTCATTATTAGTAGCAGTAGTCTCTTTGCACAATGTGCATAAAGAAGGAATAAAACTGCACCTCCTGTATGCTTTATGTCAAGGGAGCTATTGTAGATTTTAATGAGAAGACAACATTGGAATCAGTTATTTATGATTAGATCACTACTACTACTTACTGCCTTTTACCATTTATGTACAGCAGTTTCTTACAGCTGCGGTTGTTATGCAGCACTGTATAAATCAAGTTGAGTTGAGTTTTAACTAAATTATTACGTGACATTCAATTTGAGAAAGGCATTTCAATTTATTATATATTTTTTTAAAGCCAGAGGTAAACACCATGTTACTCCAGCTGGGGCTTGCACTCAGGCCATAAAAAAATCATGACCCTTCACTGATAAATCCATAGGAGCTTGTCACATAATCACGCTACACAATTCCCCGGCCAGGGCCTTTCTTAAGACAGCTGACAAGAGCGACAAGCGCAGTCTTCACTTCAGCCTGCCTGTAATTTTGTTAAGACACCTATGATTAAGTCCATAAATCCACTATACTTGTTCCTAAACATGCAGCTCGAGCTCTACGCTCTCCTCTGAAAACGCGTTGAAGTGACTCCACTTATTTGAATATAACGGCAAAAGCAGATTTGCTGTACAAGTCTGACTGAGCGCAATGCTACATGCTGGCCATATTGGATGGGGCAGGTTCCCATCAAAGGCAGGGAACACTCAGAACAGCCGGAAAGGAAATGAATTTCGCTATTACAGTAGCTCTGTTTAAACGTTATTGGCTGTAGGCGGTAGAATTCAGCGTCCAGTAGTGCACAAGACGTGCTTACGAGGACCAACGCAGTATGTCACATATGAAAGTCTGCCAGCGCTGTTGTCTGTGGCCATACTGGAAGTATATCATCGATTGAGACACCAGAGATAAACAAATCAATTTTCCTCATCAATAACCTTTTACTACTTATCGTGCTCATCTCAAAACAGATATACGTTTCTGATGTTTAGATGTATTTGTATTATAATAGTTCATTTTCATCATTTGATGATGTGCCTTTCAAGGTGCGATCTCTATTGACGATCCGCCACTGCTCATTTACCAACGGGTGTAACATTCTAGACCACAGGTGTCAAAGTCAAGGCCCGGGTGCCAGATCTGGCCCGCCACATCATTTTATGTGGGCCGCGAAAGCAAATCAAGCATGTCAAGTTCTATGATGCTTGCTAAAGTCTGGACCAAAATTTCAAATTGTCATATGTAATCCACAATAACTGTCATTATTCTTGACTTCTGATTTTAAAACTAGTTATCCATCCATTTGTTTTGTGCTGTGTATGTAATATGTGGAGGTGATTAAACATTTATAATGGTTTCCCAAAATTCATAACGGCCCTCCAAGTCAAACCATAACAACAATGTGGCCCGCGACAAAAATGAGTTTGGCACGCTTGTTCTCGACTGATAACCTTAATTTTCTTTGGTTTTGCAGCAGAAGCTATCAGCAGAAAGTGTTTTTCGGGAGCAATTTGAAGAGAACTGGTACAACACCTACTCATCCAACATCTACAGACATGGAGAAAAAGGATCATTTTTCTTCGTTGCCCTGAACAAAGACGGTACACCACGGGATGGAACGAGATCGAGGCGACATCAGAAGTTCACACACTTCCTACCAAGACCTGTCGATCCAGACAGAGTACCAGAACTGTATAGGGATATACTTGGACAGAGCTGAGGCCAAACCAATGTGGGCCAGAAAGAGAACTCAAAGGGATCATGTGCATCTCATACTTCACGCCTTTTGAGGGGAACGTTTGATTCAAAAGCGGTTGAAAGAAATGCACAAGATCCAGACTGCCGAATGCTGGTACGGTGGAAGGATAGCGACCCTCTCTGCACCACTTTGCAAGGGACTTTGGCATAAAAGCATCAGGAAATGTCCGGGATAATGCAGCAGAAACCCCCAAATATTATTGCCACATGCAGCGGCATCAGCAGCTAAGATGGATTTTCTTTAAGTCTCCATGCTACCCGCTCGTCCAAATTTGCATGTTTAAGTGAACGAAGGCAAGTTGAGATGAAATAAGCAGATAGGCGTTTCTTTTTTTTTTCCTGCCGCTTTTCTGTTTTATTGCTACACCTTACTGAGGCTGCTAAGTAAACCACTTTGAAAAATGTATAGCCCTCTATACAGAATGGCTGGTTTACAGAAAAGGGTAGTTTTATGCACTGGAAAGCAGCCATGTTTGTGCTGTAGAAGGGAGCGGAAGCCATCTATCTGAAAGGTCCTGATTGCTGATGCACTGAAAATGAGAATGAGGACGAAGACAAGCAAATTTGTATGGACTTCCTTTGTGGCAGCGGTGCTCTGCTCCAAACTCTCATACTCTACGACCCAGTGAAGGAATTGTACTCTTCTCCTCGCTGATTGCAGTCAAACGACAAGCACAGAGTGGACACAAGGAATTTACAGACCTGCAGACAGATTGTATTCTTATTTATGAGGCTCTAAATCCTGGGACAAACATTATATTTATTTCCTATATTTATTTATTTTAAGAATATATTTTTACAGGGATGACAAAATAAAATAGAGCATCTTTTTCTGCTATTTTAATTTGTGTGTCATTTCTGCATATTCATATGCTAAAATGTATATTGCTGCATCTTCATGTTCGGTAAAAAGAATTTTGTTTTTCCTGCAAAATGTAGAGATCTTCAACTAAATTTGAAGAATTTAGTTGACTATTTTGATCCCAAAACAACAAATATGACCTTTTTTGTGCATTAAAGTAAAATTTTACAGAGAAACATGGTTTCCATGAATGAAACTGTAGATTTGCCATTGGCATTATACTGGAGTTTAAGTTTTTGGTCAGGAAACAGGAGGCGTTGAGTTCAAAACAGACAAGCTACCAAAAGCTAAATACTATGTCAGAGAGTTAGCTTCTTTAAACAATACATATGTAAGAATGTCAGCTAAAATTATTCACTAATATTCATGATAATCCCTGTGGCAGATACGAAACATAGTTCAAGTCCTCATAAATCTACAGAAAGATTAAAAAAACATTTTCAAAGGTGTGTCAATGTGGATTAAATGAAAGGGTTTTTTTTTGTTTTCTCCTACATGTTATTATTCCGGGCAGGTGTTTATTTCACGAGGGCAGAGGCCCAACACTATGGTTGCCTTGGTAAAGGTCTCGAGAAAAAGGAGATTCAAGAAAACAGTAATACCGTGGGTGCCATGTTGTGCTTTTGTTTTTTGCACTAATTGGTTGCAACAATCTACACAATTGGATATAATATTTATCTGGTGACAAAAATAAATAAATAAATAAATAACAACAACAACCACATAGATTTAAACTGCAACCGTGTTTTATATACGAAACAAAGGAGTCACATTTAATTTACAGTAAAATTCTCCTTGAAATAGTATGTAGCATGGATTTCATGGCTAAAAAAAAAAAAATCAAGGGGGGTGGCAGATGTCAAGAGTTTTAGTTCATTGAAGCCAACTACATGCTGATGGAAGCACTGAAAACAAAAGGGGAAACATAACATGAAGTCATCAGTGTGAAGAGACAGTTTGCACTTCCACTGACATTCACCGCAATTAACAAGTGACTGGTAGGCCGGATGCATTTGCAGTCTTTCATCCTCTCCTTCATCATTCCTTTCTTTCTCTCTTCACCTGCCCACCTACAGGTGAGTCATGCCTTTTTCTTGGAACAACCCGGAATGAATATACCACTAACAGAGTGAGCACAGATATGCGTAAGAGTGATTGTGTCAGTAAGGATGTCCCACCGTCAATCAAATGTTTGTGCTCGAACGTGTGTGGAATCTTGCTGTGCATGCCACAAATTTCTCTTCCTTTTCTTTTTTTTAAATAAATAATTACTTAACTACTATTTAATCTTTGTTGTTTGAATTGTCATATTTTTGTATTATTATGAAAAGTCGGATGAAAAACTAACTTGGATGTTGAATGGAAAGAATACCTTCTCTGACTCATAAAAGTGTTTAAAATGATGTTTGATGCTTTGAATCATCAACCTCGATCCATCCATCAATCCATTTTCTACAGCGCTTTTCCTCCGAGCTGGAGCTGAGAGGCACGGTATAACCCGGACCTCTCGGTAGTAAATCGCAAGTCACACTTGGACAGTCATTAAGCGCTCACATTCACAGACAATTTAGAGTGTGCACTGAACCAAAACACGCATGTTTTTGGAATGTGGAAGGAAGCTACCCATGCAAAGATAACCCACACAAGTGACAACTTGCAAACTTCACACGGGAAGGCCTGAGCTGTGATTCGAATGGTGGAACCTCTGAACTATGAGGGAGACATGTAACCACAAAGCACTATGCTTCCCTGCTTCATTTCATAATTCGGGTTTGCCTTCTTGTGTTTGGTACTTTAATGTGAGTCTGGTTCTTGCTTTGATAGAGGAAAGTAATCTCCAAAGAGTTAATGAAGATGCTTACAAGGAGTGTACCGAAAAGGCCGATGTCACCTTTGACCTCAGCTACCCACCTGATATCCTCACAGCAGCGAGTGACTGTTAGTTTTTCCACAGTTGCTAAATGACATTTCTAGAAACCTCCTACCCATTCTTCAAAACCTTAACAGCAAAATACAAAAATCCGAACTCCATTCACAATTGAACTACTCTGGAAAAAAAAGTTCTTCTTTTTTGGTTGCACATGAAAAATAACATTGGTGGGCCACAATTTAATCATACGCAACGGTGTTGAAAAAGGATCGACGGATAAATACAAGACTTACTTGATCGTCAAATTCACTGAGATTCAGTCTCCAAAATCTCGCCTGTGTGTGGCATCTTGACGAAGGGCTTCACATCGCCGGCTGTTTGATTCACTTTCTGCTCATGTCAACGATGAGTGCTTGTTGACGTTGGGAGAAAAGAGCAATCCTTCCCCCTTCATTCTGCCGTCTTTCAATTCTACAAAGAGGAAAATGCACTTACAAGCATGTACACTCAATAAAACATGTAATGTAAAAACCATTACAGGATTTACAGTATAATTTTCTGTCTGCCAAATGGCATATGTTGTTCAACAAGAAAATAAGAACTGCTTTCCCCACTGTCTTGCCAATGCTGGCCGCAGAGAATCTGTTCAAATTGGATTGGACTCTTTGACCTGATTCTCTCATTGTCATTCCATTTCAGCAGTGATGAATGTTTTCGTCGTTTTTCTCATTTCATGGTTTACCATTTTCACTACATACAATTTTGTAACACAAATGTATCTCAGTGTAGAATGTGTATAAGCTTTTGCAAAAAGGATGATAATGATGAGACATTTTAACATATTGAATCTAAGTATATCTCAACAGGATTGGCCAAAAGAGTTTTGGATTTTAAAAATAAGTTGAGCTCACTGCAAATTTCATAACATAACATGGTGAAAATCATGTCAGGGCACATTGTAATTTTATTTTTTGACCACAACTACTTCGGCTTTTTGAATCAGATTTCATTTAAAAGGAAAGAAGAACCTCCTTTGACGTAAAACCAACCTTTAGAAGCAGGGAGAACATTGTGTCTTGTTAGGAAAAGAGTCAGATTGGATGTTATCCCCTGATAGGGGTTCACAGTGTGCGGTGAGAGGACCTCAGAGCCAGAAAGATGGCTGAGTACCAGCATGTGTGTGTTTGCGTGTGTATTGCTGTTCATACCAGTACAGAGTGAGGAAGGAATGGCTTGAAGGTTTCTAAGAAACAGGTGGCTTTGTGAGAGGAGGTATTACCAACAGTAACGCTGCATGTGGGTTCGAAGTGTTGCAGCCTGTCATGCTGCAATCTTCCTTTGAAGTGTGTGTGTGTGAGTGTGTGTGTATTTGTGCACGCGCGCTGGAAGGGGGAGGCATGTTTATATGAATCAAAGTAACTGCATAGATTCATGTCAGCACAACTTTCGTGTACGTACGTGTGGGTGTGTGTGCGTGTGCGTGTATGCCTGTGACTGAGAGCAAAAGAGAGACAGTGACTGTGTGTGCGCCAAAGTGTGTGTGATCTATGAATCTGTGTGAAGGTGAGCCAGGGGTTCTCCTGACCAGAGGCATGTCTGACTGATGTGCGAGGGCTTGCGTGTGTGTGTGTGTGTGTGTGTGTGTGTGTGTGTGTGTGTGTGTGTGTGTGCGCGCACATACATGCGTGTGAGCGTGTAGTGCCCTGCCTCTGAGTCCTCTTTTTTTTTCTTTTTTTTTGTGGTGCAGTCCTCTGTGGGGTTTTCCATCAAATGGTTAGATTGCCCATACTGGATTCGGCATGCAAGCAGCCATGAAGGGATAGGCATGGATTTTAAAAAGTAAAATTGGGATGAACAACAAGGACCTGGTGCTTGGCAGGGTCATTCTTTCAAATATAATGTACAGAGAACAATGGGTTGGACTGAACACTTTTAAAAAAAAAAGCTTCTTCCTTAACACTTTTGACCATGTAAGCTTTCTATGCCAATATTTCATGTTCATATATTTGTTTATATGTTCAATTAACAAACTAAAACAAACCAAACATGTTTCATGTCTCCTGTATAATGTTCCCCCACTAGCCACCACAGCCCTCTTTGGTTGCCGGGGTTTTTTAAAACGTTTTTTTTGCATTATACTTAAGACTGGAATACCCTTGTGTATGGGAAAGTAAAGCTACTGGCACCAATGCACTATTCAGATATTTAACGCTCGGGGATCAGTTAAAAAAAGAAAAAAAAAAACCCAAAGATGCTTATTTGTCATTGCTTGAGCCAGCAGCCAACCGTTCTCCAACCAGTTTGTCACATCAGACGCAACCCCACCAGACCATCCATCCATCCATCCATCCATTTTCTGAAGCACTTTAGGGTCGCGGGGGTGCTGGAGTCTATCCCAGCTGTCTTTGGGCAGCAGGCGGGGGACACCCTGAAACGGTTGCCAGCCAATCGCAGCGCACACAGAGACGAAGAACCATCCGAGCTCACACTCCTAGGGACAATTTAGGGTGTTCAATCAGCCTGCCATGCATGTTTTTTGGAATGTGGGAGGAAACCGGAATACCCGGAGAAAACCCACGCAGCCCCGGGGAGAACATGCAAACTTTACACACGAAGGCCGGAGCCGGGATCGAACCCACAACCTCTGTACTGTGAAGTCAATGCACTAACCCCACCAGACCTTGCCTCTAAAATGCACATATCTAACACATAGGACCCTATTTTCCTGCCCAATGCAAGTCTAGCACAAAGCACAGTTGAATTGTCTGAATGGGTGGAGTTTTCTTTGTTTTGGGTATTTTCTTAGAGTTATACAGGTGGAAGATGGCACTTGGTCAGTTGTATGCCGCTGTGGGAGGGAACGTAGCCAGCTCCCAGCCAATCAGAGGCTTTCCTCTTCCCTTTAGAATCAGGGTAGTTGAAGCACAAACAGATCGTGCGTCCATGTTTGAGCTGCAGATTTTCACCTATTGCAGAAAGGTCTCTTATGTATCGACCATGATGAACAGGGGTCACTGTAGTCCAGTCTTTGGTTTATTTTCTGATACGATTAAATGATAGTTTTTCTATGTGTGTCTTGAAATTG